GATCAGCACACATCCACACACATCGATGCGACAACATCAGCTTCTGAAATTTACGCATTGTCAAAGCATGCGCTTCTGTAATCTGTGACAGCCCAATAAAGGTGGACGCTAAGGGCTAACCATCAGCTTGTGAAATTTACCCAAGACGGTTGTCAAAACTTATTCTGTATAAATATGCGACAACCCCACAAAGGTGGATGCTACGGGCCACCACGACAATGTAATATCCAAGGCGCTCAGCTTCCAAAGTCTCGCACCTGCCACCTACAACTCTTGCGCCTGCCACGCTGTTTTCTACTTCCCCACTTCACGGCTACCAATGCAACGCACATGCAACACACATGCAACACACATGCAACACACATGCAACACACATGCAACACACATGCAACACACATGCAACACGAGCATTTTCCCTGTAAATTTCTAAGCAAAGTGGCCGCGGGGGCAAAAATCTACACTTTCCATTCTAAGACCGGAGTTGGGGCTGCAAACGTCAAATCTTGCACGTTGACTGTAAATTTACAGGGAAAAAGCTCATGTTGCATGTCGTGTTGCATGTGTGTTGCATGTGTGTTGCATGTGCGTTGCATGGCAGGTGTGCAGGATAGAGCAGTCACGCTCTCAAAGTGGTGCGCCTGCCACGCAGAACGGCAGCCAGTGCACCCCACGACATTGCGGAATCAGGTCAAAAAGGTGTCAAGACTGTCGCTGCATGTATTTCACTTAGCACAACCCATATTAGCACATATGCGCCCGCGCAAGCAAACAGACACACCCACGCACAAACACCCGCCCAAACTGATCCCGATGCTTTCTCTGACACAGTGTCGTCATCATTCTCGCGTTTGTCTGCAGCCATGGGTCCATCCTACTGTGTCTTTTCTGAGTCCGGTGAGTTTTTTTTGGTTCCGAGTTCATTTTAACTGTTGTTAATATGCATGTGGATGAAGATCAGCACGCATCCACACACATCGATGCGACAACATCAGCTTCTGAAATTTACGCATTGTCAAAGCATGCGCTTCTGTAATCTGTGACAGCCCAATAAAGGTGGATGCTAAGGGCTAACCATCAGCTAGTGAAATTTACCCAAGACGGTTGTCAAAACTTATTCTGTATAAATATGCGACAACCCCACAAAGGTGGATGCTACGGGCCACCACGACAATGTAATATCCAAGGCGCTCAGCTTCCAAAGTCTCGCACCTGCCACCTACAACTCTTGCGCCTGCCACGCTGTTTTCTACTTCCCCACTTCACGGCTGCCAATGCAACGCACATGCAACACACATGCAACACACATGCAACACACATGCAACACACATGCAACACACATGCAACACACATGCAACACGAGCATTTTCCCTGTAAATTTCCAAGCAAAGTGGCCGCGGGGGCAAAAATCTACACTTTCCATTCTAAGACCGGAGGTGGGGCTGCAAACGTCAAATCTGCACGTTGACTGTAAATTTACAGGTAAAAAGCTCATGTTGCATGTCGTGTTGCATGTGTGTTGCATGTGTGTTGCATGTGCGTTGCATGGCAGGTGTGCAGGATAGAGCGTCACGCTCTCAAAGTGGTGCGCCTGCCACGCAGAACACAGCCAGTGCACCCCACGACATTGCGGAATCAGGTCAAAAAGGTGTCAAGACTGTCGCTGCATGTATTTCACTTAGCACAACCCATATTAGCGCATATGCGACACCCACACACAAACACCCGCCCAAACTGATCCCGATGCTTTCTCTGACACAGTGTCGTCATCATTCTCGCGTTTGTCTGCAGCCATGGGTCCATCCTACTGTGTCTTTTCTGAGTCCGGGTTCTTCAAAAAAACAGCCATCCACAGGAAACCACAGAGATACCCTGCTTACCCCCGCAACCCCCAACTTCAATGTTGTGATCGGAAGTGCCGAGCATCATCAACAGAAATGGCTGTTTCTTTTGAAGGCCGCCAAACACAAAATTCAGAAGACAACATTGAATTGGGGGACGGGGGGTGGCATGACCTCTCTGGTGTGGTACTTCATGGGATGGCTGTTTTTTTTTGAAGAACCCGGACTCAGAAAAGACACAGTAGGATGGACCCATGGCTGCAGACAAACGCGAGAATGATGACGACACTGTGTCAGAGAAAGCATCGGGATCAGTTTGGGCGGGTGTTTGTGTGTGGGTGTCGCATATGTGCTAATATGGGTTGTGCTAAGTGAAATACATGCAGCGACAGTCTTGACACCTTTTTGACCTGATTCCGCAATGTCGTGGGGTGCACTGGCTGTCGTTCTGCGTCGTTCTGCGTGGCAGGCGCGCCACTTTGAGAGCGTGACTGCTCTATCCTGCACACCTGCCATGCAACGCACATGCAACACACATGCAACACACATGCAACACACATGCAACACACATGCAACACGACATGCAACATGAGCTTTTTACCTGTAAATTTACAGTCAACGTGCAGGATTTGACGTTTGCAGCCCCAACTCCGGTCTTAGAATGGAAAGTGTCGATTTTTGCCCCCGCGGCCACGTTGCTTGGAAATTTACAGGGAAAATGCTCGTGTTGCATGTGTGTTGCATGTGTGTTGCATGTGTGTTGCATGTGCGTTGCATTGGCAGCCGTGAAGTGGGGAAGTAGAAACCAGCGTGGCAGGCGCAAGAGTTGTAGGTGGCAGGTGCGAGACTTTGGAAGCTGAGCGCCTTGGATATTACATTGTCGTGGTGGCCCGTAGCATCCACCTTTGTGGGGTTGTCGCATATTATACAGAATAAGTTTTGACAACCGTCTTGGGTAAATTTCACAAGCTGATGGTTAGCCCTTAGCATCCACCTTTATTGGGCTGTCACAGATTACAAAGCGCATGCTTTGACAATGCGTAAATTTCAGAAGCTGATGTTGTCGCATCGATGTGTGTGGATGTGTGCTGATCTACATCCACATGCATATTAACAACAGTTAAAATGAACTCGGAACCCAAAAAAAAAACTCACCGGGTTCTTCAAAAAAAACAGCCATCCACAGGAAACCACAGAGATACCCTGCTTACCCCCGCAACCCCCAACTTCAATGTTGTGATCGGAAGTGCCGAGCATCATCAACAGAAATGGCTGTTTTTTTTGAAGGCCGCCAAACACAAAATTCAGAAGACAACATTGAATTGGGGGACGGGGGGTGGCATGACCTCTCTGGTGTGGTACTTCATGGGATGGCTGTTTTTTTTGAAGAACCCGGTACCAGTGCCATAATGGAGATCTGTGGGAACAACATGGAGGTATATGGATTTGTAAATAAAAACTATAATGTTGTTAAAACAATAAAATCAATAATAAACCATCCCCCAGTCATCACCCTTTTTATAGGTGGGATTCGTTTACCCATTGTTTTAACCACATTACAAGAATTGGATAACAATTGGAACATAGCAATATAATCTACCCTCTGGTAAAGTAACATAACTATTGAAAATGGCAATAGAAATAGTTGATTTACTCATTCAAAATGGTGATTTTCAATAGTTATGTTAAATTCCAGTTGAACTCTTCCATCACAACATCCATCTTTCCATTCACAAGCTGACACAATTGGCTTCCAAATTGTTGAAGCTCAGCAGTAGACGGTCTTGAGCGCACAATGTGAGTGAAATGCATAGTTGGTTCACGAGCCCTGTGCATGATTTCAATGCACTTGTACCACATGATGTCTTGCACCGTCTCAAAAGCATATTTCCTCCACTTTCCCATGGTGGCTGTGTATGACGCTGTTTATTCCAATGCAAGGGTGTCAGGATTCAAATCATTTTCTTTGACTTTTGCAGAATCGGTCACAGTATTCTTTTGCTTTTTCAACGCCTTCTTTCCCAGCACTGTTTTCAAGACCGATGCCAGCTGAAATGACCCCATCTTCCTGTATATGGGCATCTCATCGCATTCCCGGCGCATATTGAACATCCCAGCTAGGTCGATGTGATGAATCATCCCCAAAGCATGGTCTCGTATTGGGAGCGTTTCATAGGGGGTTCAATGCCAGAAATTTGGACAACCCAAATACCATATCAAGTTGGTTATACGTTATATCCAAAAATATGGCAAACATACTCTATTATATACCCACTATTGTCATTTCAGATAGGGATAAATAGTTGATTTATGATGAATATCCTCTGGTAATCAAAACATAACAACGGAAATTCAACCAGAAATAGAGGTTTTAATGGGATCATCTGTATATCGGGGACTTCCAAATTGCCATGTTTGATTTATGTTAGATAAGTTTGTTTATATACAACATATTGATATCTGGTTATGTAATGTTATGTAGACCATGAATATCCTACAGCAATATCCTCACGAAAAACCTGCATGCAATCAGCAAAATCACCGTCAATATCTTATAACTTAGCAAATTCCATCTGGCTGAATTACCCTCTGGTAAACTGTTACATAACTATGGACAATTGCCATCTTTAATGGGTAAATCAACTATTTCAATGGCCATTTTCAGTAGCTACGTTAAATTACCAGAGGGTAAATCCCATTTACACCACCATTTGGTTGGTTAAACCCCATTAAACCACCATTAGTTTACCAAAGGGTATAATATATTCACCAACCTGGAAATAGCTGTTATCATACGGTCGTTTGGGGATGATTCTAAACCATTCACCATGATGGTTTCGACGGTGAAGGAAAGCGACCGGAAGTCACGACGGTGTTTGGTCATGATGAAATTCATCTTTAGATCATATAACTATTCTGACCATCTGGTTGGTGGTATACCTACCCCTCTGAAAAATATGAGTTCGTCAGTTGGGAATATCATTCCCAATATATTAGATTCATTATAATGATAATGGGTTAATGATAATGAATGATAATGGGTTAATGAATCAACCATTATCATGAATCAACCATTATCATTCATTCTCACCCCCTATTCACCAATATGAAAAAATCATAACCCATAAAAAATGAGCCGTTCAGATTCACCATTCGATGGACCTGCCACACCAAGTTGCGGAACTTCTCCTCATCCTGGAAGGCCATCATGCCTCGTATCAATCCAATCGACAGTGGTGCGACTCACAGCGGTGTCCATGTAGATAACTAGAGTGAAATGGCGATGATAACTTTATATATGATGATTTAGTGATAAGACCTATGGTGATTTATGGTGATAAGTTGATTTATGGTGATTTATGTTGATTTGTGGTAACACTTAGATTGTGATGGTGATGAGATCTATGAGGATTTATGGTGATAAGTTGATTTATGGTGATTTATGTTGATTTGTGGTAACACTTAGATGTGATGGTGATGAGATCTATGAGGATTTATGGTGATAAGTTGATTTATGGTGATTTATGTTGATTTGTGGTAACACTTAGATTGTGATGGTGATGAGATCTATGAGGATTTATGGTGATAAGTTGATTTATGGTGATTTATGTTGATTTATGGTAACACTTAGATTGTGATGGTGATGAGATCTATGGTGAGTTGATTTATGGTGATTTATGTTGATTTGTGGTAACACTTAGATTGTGATGGTGATGAGATCTATGAGGATTTATGGTGATAAGTTGATTTATGGTGATTTATGTTGATTTGTGGTAACACTTAGATTGTGATGGTGATTAGATCTATGAGGATTTATGGTGATAAGTTGATTTATGGTGATTTATGTTGCTTTATGGTAACACTTAGATTGTGATGGTGATGAGATCTATGAGGATTTATGGTGATAAGTTGATTTATGGTGCTTTATGTTGATTTGTGGTAACACTTAGATTGTGATGGTGATGAGATCTATGAGGATTTATGGTGATAAGTTGATTTATGGTGATTTATGTTGATTGTGTCGAACACTTAGATTGTGATGAGTGGATTAGATCTAAGAGGATTATGGTATAAGTTGATTATGGTGATTTCTGTTGCTTGTGGTAAACAATAGATGCTGAATGTGGTGATTAGATTCTTATGAGAGATTATGGTGATAAGTTGATTTATGCCGTGATTAAGTTGCTTATGTAACACTTAGATTGTGATGGTGAATGAGATCTCATGACAGGATGTATGTGCATAAGTTGATTTATGGTGATATATGTTGATTTGTGGTGACACTTAGATTGTGATGGTGATGAGATCTATGAGGATTTATGGTGATAAGTTGATTTATGGTGATATATGTTGATTTGTGGTGACACTTAGATTGTGATGGTGATGAGATCTATGAGGATTTATGGTGATAAGTTGATTTATGGTGATATATGTTGATTTGTGGTGACACTTAGATTGTGATGGTGATGAGATCTATGAGGATTTATGGTGATAAGTTGATTTATGGTGATTTATGTTGCTTTGTGGTAACACTTAGATCGTGATGGTGATTAGATCTATGAGGATTTATGGTGATAAGTTGATTTATGGTGATTTATGTTGACTTGTGGTAACACTTAGATTGTGATGGTGATGAGATCTATGAGGATTTATGGTGAAAAGTTGATTTATAGTGATTTATGTTGCTTTATGGTAACACTTAGATCGTGATGGTGATTAGATCTATGAGGATTTATGGTGATAAGTTGATTTATGGTGATTTATGTTGATTTATAGTAACACTTAGATTGTGATGGTGATTCGACCTATGGTGATTTATGGTGATAAGTTGATTTATAGTGACTTATGTTGATTTATGGTAACACTTAGATTGTGATGGTGATTAGACCTATGAGGATTTATGGTGATAAGTTGATTTATAGTGATTTATGTTGATTTATGGTAACACTTAGATTGTGATGGTGATGAGATCTATGAGGATTTATGGTGATAAGTTGATTTATGATAAGTGAGTGACTTATGTTGATTTATGGTAACACTTAGATTGTGATGGTGATTAGACCTATGGTGATTTATGGTGATAAGTTGATTTATGGTGATTTATGTTGATTTGTGGTAACACTTAGATTGTGATGGTGATGAGATCTATGAGGATTTATGGTGATAAGTTGATTTATGGTGATTTATGTTGATTTGTGGTAACACTTAGATTGTGATGGTGATGAGATCTATGAGGATTTATGGTGATAAGTTGATTTATGGTAATTTATGTTGATTTGTGGTAACACTTAGATTGTGATGGTGATGAGATCTATGAGGATTTATGGTGATTTATGTTGATTTATGGTGATTTATGTTGATTTGTGGTAACACTTAGATTGTGATGGTGATGAGATCTATGAGGATTTATGGTGATAAGTTGATTTATGGTGATTTATGTTGATTTGTGGTAACACTTAGATTGTGATGGTGATGAGACCTATGGTGATTTATGGTGATAAGTTGATTTATAGTGACTTATGTTGCTTTATGGTAACGCTTAGATCGTGATAGTGTTAAGATCTATGGTGATTTATGGTGATAAGTTGATTTATTGTATTTTATGTTGATTTATAGTAACACTTAGATTGTGATGGTGATTAGAACTATCTATGGTGATTTGTGGTGATAAGTTGATTTATGGTGATTTATGGTAACTATAGTGATTTTGAGGGTGATTAGAACTTATATGGTGATTTATGGTGATAAGTTGATTTATGGTGATTTATGGTAACTATAGTGATTTTGATGGTGATTAGAATATGGCGATTTATGGTGATTTATGTTGATACTGTGCCTTTTCCCAATAAATGGTCTGGTAGGCTCTGGTCCGTCTCCATATCAAATTTGGCTTGTGTCCCCCCCAGCAATCAAACATGGTAACGGAACTCCCCCATTTACTTCGCGTCAGGTTTTCTTGGCCTCCATTGAGAGCCTGGTGGAGGAAGCACATGATGCAGAAGCGCGGCCAACAGGGCCCCAGTGTCAGACGCAGGCGAATAACAAGCCCAGCCAGCCAACCCCATATGGGTACATAATTCAACTTTTGAATGTAGTATATATCCCATTATATCCCCACAAGGTGGTTCCCCCAAACCATAGCGCAGGTGCTTCATTTGCCTAGCTGAATTCTATATTCTATAGTTTATGGATGTTTATGGTAGATATATCGAACTGGTTTATGGGCTTTATAAACCAACATTCGCATAACTGGCAAGGCGCAACCTGTTTTGGTTAACGGAAATTCCTTGGAAATTCCGGGCCCTGCGACCAAGTGGCCGAAGGGATCCCAGTAGCCCAGAGGAGGGCAGGCGCCCAGCTCCTTGGAAGGATCGAACTGTGCGAAGAAACCTGCACAGATCCCGCGGCGCACAGCGCGGTGTTTACGGTAACTGAGTTTAAATTCAACGCCGACGACCATGGAATCGCCTTATGGGCCTTGTAGTCAACTTGACATTTTCTCACCATTCACCAACTGAAATATCATTTGAAGACACCATTCTTGTTGTTTACATCCCAATTTTCGATGGTTGGTAAAGTGCATTTCCCTATAAGGTGGGGATCCCTGAAGAAACACCATGAACATCCATGAATATCCATTGGGGATAGGTATATCTAATTACCATAAACTCATCCAACCATACCTATATCTTATCATATACCCACAATCAACGATTGTCGACACAGTAAGTGGAACTGTAGATATGTAGGTTTCTTCAAATGTGGGTACCCTAAATCACCCATTTTATTTTCGGATTTTCTATTCTAAACCATCCAGCTATTGTGGTACCCCCATGACTTAGGAGACCCCTATATTGCAGTTAGTATGTGAACCCGGCAGGTGATTTTCCATATCTATATCTAGAACTGTAGATATATCTACCAGAAAACCTCGAATTACACTCTTGTAAACTAACTATCGAACTGGAAACTCATATTTTTTTCCCCGTAAATCATCCGTACCCCCTGGTAATTTAACATAACTATTGAAAATGGCCATTTCTAGTTGATATACCCATGAAAAATTGTGATTTTCCATAGTTTTTTGTATAGTTTACCAGAGAGTAAATCACCATTGATCCCCATAAATTATCATTATTAACCACTATTCATATCTATAAAAATCACTATCAACCACTATATCCGTTATCTTGGGATTAATATATAATGGGATTTTAACATATTAACAATTATTATAGCATTAATCCATATCTATATAAACCATTATATCAGTATACAATATTAAACCATATTATCCATATTGTCCATATTATCTATATTAACCACTATTATAGCATTAATCCATATTATATATATTATAGCATTAATCCATTCTATCAATGGTTCACAACCGGGTCACGCGAAAACCTCGCCTTGACCATCGTTGAACGGCGAGAAATGGCCGGAGGTCAACTGTTCGATGGTGGACTGACCAGTGAGGCCGTTCCTCAGCGATGTGCACATAACTAGTTATTTGGATTTCAAGAGACTAACTAGAATTATGCCATATCTAGTTATTTGGATAAATGTGGACTTAACATTCTCAGTTTTAGGTTTGGATTTCAAGAGACTGAGAGTGTTAAGTCACTCAAAATGATAATAACATATCTGGTTGGTGGTATACCAACCCCTCTGAAAGTTTCAACCTACCCCTCTGAAAAATGATGGAGTAAAGTCAGTTGGGATGATGACATTCCATTCCCAACTGAATGGAAAATCAGAAACATGTTCCAGTCACCACCAACCAGACTAGGTGAACGTTTAGGTTTATAGGGGATATAACTAGGCGACCCCTCCCTGAGGATGTTGTGGTTGGAGTTATGGTGGACATCTATTTATCCCGGTAAACTAACATAGATCTGGAAAAACCCTGGAGAAACCCTTGGTCCAAGCGAATTACAAATGGTGGGTTTTCTAAATCTACCCTCTGGTAAACATACAAAAAACTATGGAACATCACCTTATTTTTCATGGGAAAACTCACTATTTCTATGACCATTTTCAATAGCTTTTTGTATGTTTACCAGAGGGTATGTCAGTTTACTGGAGGGTACGAAGAAACTGATGGGGCTATGCAGGTTCTGGTTTCCAGAACCTGATCTCATCGTGGACTCTGGACGGGATTGGATGTCTTTCTTGGTCAAAACCCAACGGTACCTTGCTTTTCACACCTCAACAGAATAGGTGGCAAATAGATATGAATCCACCCCAATCATTGGATTGGTTTTGTTGGGAAAATCGACTAAGCGGAAACCCATGGGTTTTTACGATCAAATTGGTTGGGCTTTCCTGTAAATTTTCCCATCATCCAATTCTATGACCCAAAGATTCCAAACAAAAACTTTCACCAACAAAAACAGAGACCTAAGGCCCAACATGGGGATGATATCTACGAGAGCAGCAATAAACATGAGGCCAAGGCCCGTCCCGGCCCATCCCAAAGGTTGGTTATAGCTACAATGGCTACTGTTCAAAACCCTGTGTCGTCACTCTAATAGTTTGTTCTGTGTCATCTGTGTCAAAACCCTGATAATCCACCCTAAAATGGCTGTTTAATGGATGCTTATTCCCCAAAATATGGCAATCACAGGAAATTTTATCGGTTTTGACCCATCCCCAGTTGAGAGGGCATACATTTATATATATGATTTCCAACATTAATAGGTCACTTGACCCATCTCCAGTTGAGGGTTTTTTTAGCCAGGTCACTGGATCAGCATGGCAGTCATGGTGACCATGGCCTAAGTGTCAGGGACTGCTGGGAAAACGACGAAGATCTTCGGCAAAAAATGGAGGTTTCGGAGGTTTTTCACCGGTTCAACCAAGAAAGATGTCATTTCACCAGGGAAATCATGGGATTTTGCCAACATAGGGACTTAACTAGGAAACATGATGATCTAGTCGCCGGAAATTGAGATAGTCAAGAGCAACCAAGCAATCATCTGGGATAGTTACAATGTGGGCCCCCCCAGTTGTAAGTTGGTTTATACGCCCCATTAAATATAGTTATAAGTACCATAAACCATAGTTATTGGTGTTATAAATACACCAGACTCACACAGCTCTCCAGTTGCATCTGACTGTGGTCGCGTGAGTCTGAACTTGTGACCCAGCCAGCCATATCTTATTGGGTTATTACCCAGGGTGAACAGTTATTTACATGCATATCATGTTATATAATGTGTATATACATACATAGATATAGATATATCATGAGAATTGATTATGACATGAACATCCAAAAGAAAAAACCCACATTGTTGGTTATTTACCTGCCTACCATTGGTTGGTAATATACTGTTCATATATGGTTGATATATGGGTAATATATGGATATTATATGGTTAATGATACTGATAATCATTTTCTGGTTGGTGATATACCTACCCCTCTGAAAAATATGAAAGTCAATGGGATTTTTCTTCCCAGTATATGGAAAAACATGTTCCAAACCACCAGCCAGTTTAATTGTTATGGTCATTATGGGAAAACATGGGTACAAACTTTAGTACAAACTGGGTAATACCCCAAGTCATACTCTCTATAGCACAGGCTCAAAGCCATGGTTGCTACCCAGGTATTGGGATGCACATCCAGCATCCCAATACTCGCTGACATCAACCATAAAACTACATACTGGTTGGTGGTTTCAACCCCTCTGAAAAATATTCGTCAATGGGAAGGATTATCCCATATATCATGGAAGAATAAAACATGTTCCAAACCACCAATCAGATATAAAACTGAATACGCAATCTTTGAGTTATCATGAAATCCCAACTTGGGAAGTCAAAATTTAAGCCTCAGCAGGGACCACAGAGTTTCGCATAGCTTCAGTGTTGACCATTTACTTATCGGGATACCCAATTTTGACCTATGCCCGATGAAATGTTCATATCCCCATCATATCCAGGCCTGGTTTACTAAATTCGATGATCCACCAAGAGCTGTGATCACTGCGTATATCCAATTATAATCCATTACATATTCCTATGATATCCCCATGATATCCCCCAAATCGTAGCTTTAGTGTAGGATCAAATCATGATCATAAACTTCTATTAGGGACGGTTTATGACATTAGGTTTCCCACATTGATGTTAGTAAAACAATAGTAGACTGTTAGTAATCATCCCCAAATTTACCATTTTTGTGGGTGGTAAAGACACCATATCCTTGTGATACCGATGAATCACAGTCATGGTTGTCTTCTGTGCCAGATCTGTAGAGAGAAGTGCTGAATCGCGAGAAGAAACGAGTCCCAGTAAGTCTTGAATCTGTGCAAGATGGGTACCCTCTGGTAAACTAACATAGCTATGGAAAATCACCACTTTTAATGGGTAAATCAACTATAAATAACAATTTTCAATAGCCATGTTTGTTTACCAGAGGGTATGTGATGGAAAGAAACAGTTAAAAATCAGTCTGAGACGTGCCAGAAGACCAGTGCCGGTGCCGTTTTGGAATTTCCACATCCTTCAGCAAAGGTTTCTGCCACGGATGTTGACCTTCTCCAACAGCTACAGCTGAGCAAAAAAACGGGAGCCCACTGGGACCCCATCGCCCTGCGGTGTTGTTTGAAAACCAACAGCCCCCAATGCTGAAGAAGCTCTTAGACTCTTAGACAGAAGGTAGTGGCTTACCTTCGGAATATAACCCAAGTGAGTCCTAATGAATATAAAGGACAGATTCAAATGATTGACCTTGGCGTTCGCAAAATCTGCAAACCGCCAAAGAAATCTTGGGTTGGTCTATTTCATTAAGTTATACCTACCAAACATCCCAATGAAATCTTCATATCCCTATCATATGCCATCATCTCCAGCCATCTGGATATATAATATTTCACTAGCCTGAAAATTTCAGTGAGGTCACAACGTGAGGTATTATAGCTATTCTATATTAAATCCATTATCACCCATTATCAATCATTGTCAACCGTTGCCGTTTTCAACCATTAAGAATTAATAACCCATTATCAATTTGATTTGCCCAGATAGCATGATAATAAAGCCATTAATCATTAATTATTAACCATTAGTCAATCATCATTAATCTCATACCCCCTTAAAATATCCTCAATAGATGCTGAGCAAAGCTCATTTATAGGCTGCTGTTCCTATTGAAACCTCCATAATTTGCCCATTTCGCGATGTCCGAGATATTATGACTACTGACTACTATGTTACTACTATTATAATCCATTCTTCACCATTAATAGCCACTATTAACCCATTATCAACCATTATTCGCCCATCAAACGAAGGGCCAACCGTCCGTTGTTCAGCTCCGTGGTCAGCTTCAACTTTCGCTCCGCCGGGTCCTGGATCCTTGGAGAAAACACTCGTCGAATATCAGACACATTGGAAAGTGATGAAACATTGAACATGGCCATTTAGTTGATTTACCTATAAAAACAAGGTGATTTTCCATAATTCTGTTAAATTGGATTATGGAATTCCTATTGAATTGCAGATTGAAGCACCTAAACATCTGTGGAAGATGTTTTCACTGACATGAAAAACGGATTGAGGTTTGATCAAGATCTTCGACAAGGTGTTTTTGTAAGTTGGGAAATTCAGTAGTTTATGGTGGATATATCTGGAGTTAAATAGGTTTAAGGGACAAATTGACTCTAACTGGGAGGACCCATGAATGATTTTCAATATCTCAATAAATGCCAACATATCGCAATTTCGGTTCCTCACGTCCACATGGATCTTGGCAAACCGCAGAGACAAGTTTTTGCTGTAACTCCTTCATTAGTCCTTTACTGATTTGCAAATTTCAATGACCCATTGACCCACCCAGTATGGCTCAACAATGCAGTGCAACGGACCCACGAACGTCTATTCATCTTTGGTAACAGCACCCTTCAACTTTGGGATCAAAACATGTTCGAATCACATCCAAAGAAGTATAGAACTCTACATGGATTTGTCTGAAATTAGTGTACCCAATCTTTTTCAATGGATCATCATGATGGTCGCTTTTTAAACGCTATAAATTGGTGGCATACTCCATTTCCAGACAAACCAATAAGATTCTGACTTCCGAATGGTTTGTGATGTAAAACATCCCTACGCTTTGGCGAATGTACTGGCCAAGCTACGGGATACCACTAGGTCAAGAAGGCTGGAAGCAAACAAATCAAGTTCGATGTTGAGCCACACGAAAAGTTAAGATCTAGGGAAATTTATGGTGAGTAATTCAGGTTTTTCATGGGATTATCATGGGTGATATAGCACAACAATGGTAATATAACCCATATAATCCGATCATATCTCATCATAGTCCCCCCAAATTCGATGAAATCAGCATCTTATTAAAATGAGATAACCAAAACGCAGATGTATCTAAGTGCAGCGTTTTTCGCACACCGAGCCTCTTAAATTTGTTTACGGCGGTTGAAGACCTGTTTCCCATATCTGCAACAAAAGTGTGGCATTTACCCAAAATGTGCATGAGTACTGGGAATGTAATGGAGAGAAAAATCACCAACAATGCTGTAGATAGGAGCAAATTAAAATGGCAGAGGTATTTTTACTGGACATGATTCACCTTAATCTCCCAGATTGGCCGTCTTGGTATATGTGCGCCGCCATTCTGTCAATGCATCTGCATGTGATTTTCAAAGACCAATACGAATTTCATGTGAATCCATCCATCCATCCATTTATCCATTCATCCATCCATCCGTCCATCTATCCATCCGTCCACCTATCCATCCATCCACCTATCTATCCATTCATCCATCTATCCATCCATGCATCCATCTATCTATCTATCTATCTATATTCTGTTGGGTTATCCATGATATACCCATGATATCCCAATGATGTGGACACTGCCATGAACCTACTGGGATCAACTGGAATGGCCATGGATTCCCTTGGAGCAAAGCCTCATGGTTCCTACAATGGCGATGCCAACGATGTCTGTGCTCGACGTGGTAGGGAGAAGAGAAGGCAGCGCCGTCGCGAGGAAGACCCTAAATGTTATTTTGACAGATTTCTCGCTGCTTGGTGAATGCATCTGCTGCGCACTGACGCAGTGTCGGTGTCGCCTCAATCCCAAAAATTCGGGATTGAGGCTCCAGACTTCCAGAAGTCATCAAAGCTGAACTCCATCTGACATGCCATGACGCCATCGAGGATTGCTTGGGTTTAGTCGCGCCACGGAAAGGGCGAAATCGACTGCGGATTCGAACTGCGGAACTGGCGACACTTCTTGGGCCCTTGGGGTACCAATGGACCCATAGAATTTTTCAACTTGAACGTCAAAGCTCAAAACATTCATTTGGAGGGGTTGATCTCTTCCTTGAAAGATGAACATGGGTGCAGCTTGGGCAGCATTACCAGTTACCAGCAGACACTCAGAAGAGATCCGATTCAAATTGAACAAAGTCCAGCAACAATTTCCAATTATGTATATAGATATCATCATGCATATGTAAAAATTCACTGGACATTCTTCTATATATTCTTGTATATCTATGATATGTGTACATATATATGTATATGGAGGTTTCCTGAAATAGGGGTAGCCCTAGTTACCCTCTGGTAAACAAACATAACTATTGAACATGGGCATAGACATAGTTGATTTACCCATTAAACATGTTGATTTTCCATAGTTATGTAACAATTTACCAGAGGGTATCATCCATTTTAATGGGATGTTCCATGAAACCATCTAGCGATAAAGGGGTAGCACCATGATGGTCTGGAACCCGCTCCAGGAGGGAGATCCCTCCTATGGGATGCAAGGGATGCTGATGAACCACCAAGGGAGACCGATTATAAACACAACGGGGGGGCTGGTTGGTGGTTGAGCCTACCCTCTGAACAGTATGAGTTGGTCAGTTGGGATTATTCTTCCCAATATATGGGAAAAATGGTCCAAACCACCAACCAGGGGGATTGATTGATACTTCCAGTAATTTAACATGACGACCCTGCCATTTTTCGGGCTTGGAAGATGAGTGAAGCCACTCAAGATTTTGGTGATTTTCACAGTCGAACTGTTACTTTACCAGAGGGTAACTTATTCACCACATAGTATGAAAACTTATTCGCCACATATTTCATATCATTTGTTGTTCACATAGTGTTTACCCTCCAGTAAATTAACATAGACCCTGCCAGATAGGGGTTGGAAGACTAGTTTCCACTATAAACTGATCATTTTCAGGGTCTATCTTAATTTACCAGAGGGTATATGATATCTATATTAATAGTTGATCAACCTACCGCGCTATGGATGCATGAAATCCCCCATGATCAAATCAAAAGGATCCGGATGGGATTCTCACAGCGGCTTCGTTCATTTTTTTTGGAGGATCACGTGTCGCCGTTGTAGAGAAAACCCATCTCTTAAACTTCCTAAACCATGGGAAATTGGGGGGGTTCTGCAGTTTCCCGATTTTCAAACCTTTTGCATCCTTTTGCCCATCATGAAAAAATTTGATGCGCACCCAGAGTGCCATCCAAGAACTCAGCCCATCAGGATCCTTCCCTTCAAGGCTCTTCCTTCCCCAGTAGCCAGTGCCAAAATTTCCCGGTTCTCCATACTTGGCATATCCGAAGCCTCCAAAGGACTGGTCCTGCACGTGATTCACCAATTCGACGCACACATTCAGCATGAAACTGCGGGAAAAAATGGAAGCTATCCATATCTAGAGACACAATATTCAGTTAACGTTTGGTTAAACCATGTTTTCATGGTTTAGAGTGTTAATCGAAGGAAGTTTAGAAGTGAAACTTCCGACAATATGGACAGTTGAAAAGCAGAGGTGAGAAGAGTCAGAAGAGACAAGATCAGAAGAAAGAAGATGCAGGTGCGCGAAAAGGTAGGAACGTCGTGAAACACTGAAAGTCGCGAAACACTGTATTTTTCCAATGATTTGTGGCTCCGGTGGGTCGAAAAGTAGGCTCGCTAAAGCGGCGGGTGCGGAGCCAGCTTGCCAGATGAGAGATGAAAAAGTGCACGCCGTTGTGGCGCGAAGCACATTTCCAAGTCAAAATGTACAAAACACACCATTATTGGACCACTTTTGGAAGTTGAGATGTCGAAAAAGTGCACGCCGTTGTGGCGCGAAGCATATTTCCAAGTCAAAATGTACAAAGCACACCAGGGTCGGACCACTTTTGGAAGTTGAGATGTCGAAAAAGTGCACGCCGTTGTGGTGCGAAGCACATTTTGAAGTCAACATGTACAAAACACACCATGCTCGGACCACTTTTGTGAGGTTCAGATGTCCCTTCGCTTCGCTTCACTACACTACACTACATTACACTACACTACCTTCCACTACACTTCATTACATTGCACTACACTACACTCCACTACACTACAACTACAAGTACAACTACAACTACACAACTACACTCCACTACACTCCGCTACACTCCACTACATTACACTACACTACCTGCCACTACACTCCACTACACCACACTACATTACACTACACTACATTGCACTACACTACATTCCACTACACTCCACTACACTACATTACACTACGCTACATTACACTGAATGACACTGCACCACAGACAGACAGGTAGACAGATAGACAGATAGACAGACAGATAGATAGATAGATAGATAGACAGATAGACAGATAGACAGATAGACAGGTAGACAGCTAGACAGATAGACAAATGAAAGCGAGAGAGAGATAGATAGATAGATAGATCGATAGATAGATAGATAGATAGATAGATAGATAGATAGATAGTTACATAGAAGATAGATAGGTAGAAAGGTAGATAGTCAGAGAAAGAGAGCGAAAGAGAGGAGACCTCAAGCACCTTTCGGTCCATCAGTGGATTCGCTCTGCCATCCCTGATTCACAACAACGAACCTCTCCTATAGGTTTCCTATTTTTGAAACTTCCGCCACCGCCTTGTGCGGTACTACTGGTACTTTTTTTTGATGGTTAAATCATGTGAACTAACTCTTTGTGCTGGTGAAATCCATCCATTTTCAAACCTCCGTCCTTGAAGAGCTGCGTCTCAATGAGACCCGCCACCAGAAGGATCTGCGCGCAAAAAGGCGATGGTCAGGTGATTCAATGGGGAATACCCTCTGGTAAACTAACATCTTGCTATGGAAAATCACCATTTTTCATGGGTAAATCAACTGTTTCTATGCCATTTCCACTAGCTATGTTGTTTACCAGAGGGATAACCAGTGATTCCATGGGGAATATGTTGGGAAACCATACTGTGGATGATGTTCCATTGAAACCTGGTGAATATATTGGGACACCTATCAACCATTCCATTGGGAAACCATACTGTAGATGGTTGCGAAATCTTGCACCTGTTTAAAAACGGTGGTAAACATCCCATTATTTATCGGATTTCCACCATACAAGGTGGTGCAGGATTTCGCCACTATCGCAGGGATTCACCAATTTCACATTTGGAATTGTGGTAATTGTAGCTATTGCTACTGGATGTTGATGGTTTATGGTAGACATATGCGTGTTTCCGAACATGGTGGATTCCCAGTCGTCACCATGCTTGTTTCAATACAAGGGCCTTGGTCATCCATGACGACTGGATGATTTGGGGGGACCCCCAAATTTAGGGAACCTCCATATGGGAACATAGGGATTAACCAATGCATATCATGTTATATAATGTGTGTACACACACACATATATATATATAAAGAAAGATATATATCATGAGGATTTATTTTCAACATGAACATCTAGAATGACATGTAATGAGGTACCCGCCAAAATTGGTGGATTTTTTTTTCGGCACCCCCTCTCACCTCCCACACTAGTCTGCCGAGGGAATCTAAGCCAGTCATGAATGTCATTGGATTGCTGGTTAGTGGTATACCTACCCCTCTGAAAAAGATGAGGTCGTCAGTTGGGATGATGACAGGCCAATATATGGAAAAATCAAATTCATGTTCCAAACCACCGACCAGATTGGTTTTTGGGAACATTTACAGGAACCCCCCCGATATTTAATGGTAAACACCACGGTTTGCGGTGTAGATTTTTCCCAACAAAACCAATCTAATGAGAATGGGTTCCCACAAAATATGGGTCTATGAACCGCCCGTGTGGAGATAACCATCACCCAATGTGTGTGTATAAACTGTTGACCCCAGCACATGTCACATTTCATCATTATTTGTCGGAAGACAGATGTTGGTCATGTGAAGTAATGTCAAACATTGAAGCAAATTGAATGCTGTGACTTTTTTTTTTATATATTGAGTGGTAGCTATAGTTTTGACACATAACTTCAAGTAACCTGGGCAGTAAATACTAAAAACTGAGATACACATTTGCATAGCTCAATCCTAAACCACCCTAAGGATATCTAAGTCATCTGAATCATCCTCATGATTTCTTTCTTGAATTTTCCTCATCTTTTTCGCACCCATCTTCGATTGGGTTCAGCGATTCAACATATTCGGGTTTGTCAATTTTCCATCCAATTTCAGAATGTTCCTAGATAAGTTGCTTGCTTAACTTGTTGGTGGTATACCTACCCCTCTGAACAATGTAACAGTGAGTTGGGATGATGACATTCCCAACATATGGAAAATCATCCCAATCTTCCAAACCATCAACCAGTTATGGTTGATATGGTACATTAGATAACTTAACCATAGTATAACTGTAGATACTATGGTCCATTAGATATGAACATCCATTGCTTGCTTAACTATGGTTCATGGTAGATATCTCCATAGTATCTATAGTTCTATGAGTCCATTCACCTACTTATGCGCCACACTGTGGCGCACCTGCAGCCAGCCCTCCAAGGGCACTTTGCTGATCGCTGCGATGCCCGATGGCACATCGGCAAACTTCAAATTTGCAGAGGGGGACAAGTAGCCTCAGACCAATAACGTCCTTTTGGTAGAAATACGTTGGGTCCGGTTTGGTAGTTTGGTATACCATCTATCATCATTCACCTGTTGTTTTTCAGGGGTTTCTGAAGAAGCCCCTCTATTTTCATCAACCAACCAATGGGAAAAGGACATCTATGCCTCAGACCACGTCAGGTGATCATTGGCACATGGGGACATGGGTCCCATGTGAAGTGCTGAACTTAACTCAGGTATAAGTGGTTAATAACACAGAGGCTTACAAGCTGGGGTCCCCAAACAATAGCTAAATTGGTTTGTATCTAGGTCAACTATGGTTTTTGGTAGATATATCTATAATTCATGGGGTTTAAAAACCAACTTGTAATGGGGGCACCGCGGAGCTTCAAGGCACTGTATGCACAACGAAGTCATCGATTTTGCTTGCTGGAAGTTAATTTAAGAACAGTTCCATTTGATTGAACTATACAAATTGATCAAAACATAACCTTACTTGAATTGATAGAAACCAACCATCCATTTCTTCGGGGCTTGATGGAATCTGCCAACAGTTATGATTCGAAATACATGGATGCTTCGATATGGTGCATGACTACAAAATCATCAACTCTGCTCTACATTCAGTAACGAATCCATTTCACGTCGATGATAGATTCAAGAATTCGGATGATTTGATATGATTTACCCTCTGGTTATGTCAAAATAGCTATTGAACATGGCAATAGAAATGGGTGATTTATCCATTAAAGATGGTGATTTTCCATAGTTATGTTAGTTTACCAGAGGGTAACGCTAAAAAAAAAAATGCACAACTTATCTGGAAAGTCATGAATTCAGTTTTCCCATTCAACACTTTTCTTGTGCCCATCGACCCCAAACGAATCCTACCACGCGCCGAGTTGCCATCGAACTTGCCAAAGAGGTCAGGCCACACCATGCCGATGGTGGCGAACATGCAAATCCTCCCAGCGTGCAGCGCTTTTGATTGGCGAAGTTGTTGTGGGATGATATATTGATCATAGGGATCATATTCAATAAAATTATAGTGGCATAATCGTGGGATATCTCTCCATTCTCTGATCATATATCGATCATTATCCCATCGTAATATCCAACCATAATATCCCACTTATACATCCCATATATATATATATATTTTCACTTATATATCCCACTTATATATCCCAGTGATATATCACTCTCATATATCCATCACTGATATATCCCACTAAAATATTCCATTTACATCCATTTACATATTTCCCTTATCACTAAAGTATATCCTGCAAATGGATCCTAACTTATGTTATATGGATATATATGGGGGGAATCCTATCATTATCCCATGATTGAGCCATTATTAACCTCTTAAAACATATCATCGCCGGATGGAAATATATCCTGCAAATGGATCCTATCATCAATATACCTGTTGTATCCAACTTATGCATTGCCTAAAACGTATCCCAGTGATATATCACTCTCATATATCCATCACTGATAGATATATCCCAATAAAATATTCCATTTACATCCATTTACATAGTCCCCTTATCACTAAAATATATCCTGCAAATGGATCATAACTTATGTTATATGGACTCTATCATCAATATACCTGTTATATCCAACTTATGCATCGCCTAAAACTGGTTGGTGGTTTCAACCCCTCTGAATAAAATTAGTCAGTTGGGATTATCATTCCCAATATATGGAAAACATGTTCCAAACCACCAACCAGTCATGTTGTATCTCTGGGCCTCCCTCAACGTAATAGCAAGCAATGGAAAATGTTCCACCAACCAGAAAACATCATTATTGAATATGAAAAAAAATCATTACATCCTGTACCATCCCTTCTTTCCCCCTCCATTGCTACGCCCACCTGCCGTGCTTCAGTTCCACTGCGCGGCGGCGGTCGAAGTCCTCCTTGGTGCAGTCGCCACCGCAGTAACCTCGAATGGGCTCGGTGGGGATGGGGAGCCCGTTGATGTTAACGAAGCCATACGAAAACCATAGGAAAACCATAGGAAAATGGTGATTTTACCATGAAACATGCTGGGATTTGTGGGATTTCGATTTAGCCTAGCGAAGTTGGTATAGATCACAAACGCGGAAATGTACGGTCACTGGGGCAGCACCTTGTAGGGATATGTCACGGACAAACATCATAAAATATAACGCATATAACCAACAATATCTAGATATGATGGAGCTGCAAACGATGTATACATATAAAAATGTTAGGTATATACATAAATATATATATATATATACGTATACGTATATGAACAGATATAGATATAGATATAGAAATATATATATAGATTTAGAAAAAGATATAGATATATATTGTATATGTAAATAAATCTAAATATCGTATACGTAAATATGTATTTATCAAAAGAAATTGTAAATACATAAAAACACAAAAATATAACATATATATTTCAAACATATATATATATAAATATTGTACATACAGATATTGTAAATAAAAAACATATTGTACATATGTAAAAATATATTGTAAATATAAATGCAAAACAATATAGCACATATATATATATGTACATTTATTTGTACAAATATATATTTATAAAGATAAATACATATATTGTGTATATATATCTATATATTGTAAATATGTAAATATATATATATATATAGATATAAAATCTATATTGTATATGTATATATGAATATTGTATATTTATAGTATACATAAATATTGTGTTTATAAATGTTTTTATTGTATATATATACAATAAATGTATATATATATATAAATATGAATTGAAAACGTGTATATGCAAATATATATATATATACATATTGTATATATATATATATTTAAAGGTCAGTAAGCTCCCTCATGTTTTAGGCGGAAATCATGGGGGAAACATGATGGGATTCGTACGGAATTAGGGATTATAGTGCGAAGTAAGGTTTTGATATTGATGTCCCAATGTGATGAAAGGTGGATACAGTGAATCAACAATATTTATCATATCTAAAAAACATATACGTACGGGCTTTAGGCATATCCACATTCTTGCTATGGCTAGCCACTTTTCTTGGCAGCAAATCACTATTTTCAAGCAATACACGCACATATATATATATATATATACCTAAATACATATACACAGATATACATATATACATATAGGCATATACACTGATACACTGATATACAAATATTCATATATACACATACACACATATATACATGTATATATACATATACATATATACATATACACATATACACATATATTCAAATATACACATGCACACATATATACATGTATATATACATATACATATATACATACATATATACATATAAAAACATCATTTAACCATACGGCTCCATATATACATACATACAAACATACATACATACATACATACATACATCCATCCATCCATACATCCATACATACATACATACATACATACATTACATACATTACATACATTACATACATTACATACATTACATACATTACATACATTACATACATTACATACATTACATTCATACATACATACCTACATGCATACATACATACGTACGTACGTACGTACATACATACATACATACATACATACATACATACATACATACATACATACATACATACATTACATACATTACATACATTACATACATTACATACATTACATACACTACATACATTACATACATTACATACATTACATACATTACAAACATTACATGCATTACATACATTACATACATTACATACATTACATACATTACATACATTACATACATTACATACATTACATACATTACATACATACATACATTAATACATACGTACGTACGTACGTACATACATACATACAGACATACATACATACGTACGTACATACATACATACATACGTACGTACGTACATACATACATACATACATTATAGTGGTAAATATCAACTTGTTTGTCTGTAATCTCGCTCATCCAATTGGTGCTTTCTGCCGATCTCAACAATTTGTTCGTCATTTGGAATCATTTTTTATTTAAAGGTGCAACATAAAACTCAAATGTTGAAACGACCAACCAGATCATCATTTGTTATTCACCCATTGCATCCCCATGTTAGATGTTAAAATCCCCATGTTCGTCAGTTAAATATCCATCACTTTGCAAGATCCTGGTCTCCTTGTGGAACGCCCTCCATTCCATGCCGCGCAGCCAATAGGATCCCAGAACAGCAGAGGATCGCAGGCACCGATCTCTTTGGAGGCATCCTGTTTCGGTGTCTGTTTCGGAAAGTGATGATACCGTATCATCCAGGTTAGACACTCATGAGTTATTGGTTATTGGGGGCACAGGCTGATGGTTAACCATTAACCTCAAAACTCTACTCTTTTTTGGTTAGTCACGGCTGATGGTTACAGGTTTTTTGGAGCTGATCCTCTGTAGGACATTAAGTGGACTCAGCGTGGGCAAGGTTAGTCACTATAGTCTAGAGTTGGGGTGAACTAACCTACTAACTCGGATGAACCTCTCGAGGAAACCCTATAGCTTCATCGGAAAAATTTGGGGATAGAACTGATAGAACCAATGTGAACCAATCAACCATGATTGTGGGGCAGATTGGGGGATATATAGCTTCTGAATTTATTTCCCTGGCTTCTTGATGAATTTGCTTCCTTCATAGTGGATTCGGAAGAAGGTGGGCTCTTCAATATGAACAACAACTTTGGATTTCACGAAGTTTGCCGTTCATGACCAACAACCATCAAACATGCTTGGGGCTGTTTGGGGATGTATTTTCGGAAGCGTTACAGGTCTCCAAATAGAAGGTATCTAACATCTCATAACATATGGTTATGGGTCAAAGCCCTGTATCCCTGGTGAACATCAAAAAAACTGGTAAATGGATGTTCCTAAGAAGTTGTATCTATAGGTATTGACCCATAGCCATATCATAACAGCTTTCTTGGCTTAGTGAGGTCGGTGTCCCAACTATCGGGATGTGTGGTGAGATTGTAACACTCAATGGATGGATTTAAGGGACACTTTAAATCATGATAAACCAATTGGACAATTGAACAATTAATTGGTTTTGATGTCTTTTTATCATCAATTGTTCAATTATCAGGGGTTCCCACTGGTTTCCAATCAATTTTAACCACTTCTGGGAAACACAGGACGTCAATTTTGGATACTTCAATGAGCGGTTGACTGGTTCTACAGTACCTTCAGCCCTCGGCTGTCGATACCCTTCAGTGACAAAGTGACAGATTAAAACTCCAAATGGGAACAGCAACTTAGAGACTGGGTAGGAGCATAAATAGATATATGGGGGTTTCTAAAATGGGGGTACCTTCAAATCATCAATTTATAGATGGATTTGACCTTATAAACCATCCAGCTATTGGGTATCGTTATTTATGGAACCCCCCATATGTCGATTGTATTTACATCCCATATACCCACCTAAACGAAACTATCAAGTAACGATAAACTCAGAATCAACCATCATCAACTAACCATTTGGGCAATCTCAAAAGTCAAGTTCCAATTCTTATGGGTTAAATCCATCCTTGATAGTTCAATCAGCCAAATCCATGTTTTTGCCGGGAACAATGTCTATGGCTAGAATCCGAGTAAATCGCCAAGATCTATGATAGTTGAAACCTCAAGAAAAGTGCTGTTGTTGATCAAAATCCTCCTTAAGTTTTAATCAAACTGGCTCATATTTATCGCTTTCATCTGTGAAATTTGCGCGATTAAGTCACATTAAATCTCCAATTTTCAAGCTGAGTTCACCATGAAATCTCAATGTTCATTCGTAAAATCCACCATTTTCCATGATAACATTATCAGTTTCATGGTGAAATCCTCATGAAATGCACAATTTTCATGGTGAAATCCCTTAAAACGTCACAGAGTGGTGCCCAGTTCGTTAGCTAAGTTGGTTTATATAAGTCCAATAACTCTGGTTTATGGTGGATATATCGAACTACTTAATGGATGTTAATGGGGGTTATTCACCATTTATAACTATGGTTTTTATAGGTGATATATCTATAGTTAATGGGATTATAACAGTTAATGGGATTATAACCAACTTATACCCTCTAGAAAATTAACATAGACCCTGAAAATCACCAATTCTTAGTGGAAACGGATCTTCCAACTAATTTATAACTGGGGGGGGCACCACCTTGCACCATTTCTAGCTGAGCCCAGCGACATAGGCCCGCACCGCGGTGCTTCGCGCGGCCGGTGCCGTGCGGCTGGGCACGGCCGCCACGGCCACGGCGGCCAGGCCGGCGAGGCTCAGGCCGGACAGGGAGCTGCTGGATCCTGCGCTGTTTCACATCGGAAAGAGGGGACTTCACTACGAAAACCATGGAAAAACCATGGGAAAACCAAGATTTTTTATCATGGGAAAAGTATGGAACAGTGATTTTTCAAGCACATTTTTCCCCAACAGCAAAACTTTGCTATGGGGTCTTTAGCCCAGATTAGCTCCGGTGCGATCCGGTGCAGCTTCAACACCAGGTTCCGGACAAGGTTCCGGAGGGTTCTGGTGCAGATGCTTTGTGAAATTCCAAAGGGTTCCGATGTTTTTTTATGGCATAAGCACTTTTTATGGCAACCACGCAGAAGCTTTCAAGCTGCTGGGGGCCATGAAGATTTGACGGACGAACGCGAGGATTTAACCATCTTGGAATGGGGAAAAAGGAGGATTGAAGTACCAAACATGATTATATATATATATGGTAGTTGTCTTATCTGTGTAAATGTTTGAAGGGTTTGACATGGTTCAACCAGCACAATTTGGATTTGAATCAGTGAAAATTAGGATTTTTAGTAGTGGATGTATTTATATTTAATTGGTTGGTTTCATCCAGCCCGCAAATATTTGGATTTCCAATGATTTTCAATGATTTTCATCAACCACTAGGAAAAGCATTCGAATTGAAATAAACATGGGTGATTACTTCATCAATGTTTGCAACAAGAGCATGCAATTGCCATGATCATGTACAACAATGTGCAACTATGTTTGAATCAACATCCCTTTGCCGACAGATTGCTTAGACATTCTTGGCCGCACAACAATGAAACCTCAAGACGCATGTGGGAGTTGACAATCCCATCCAAGCATGTAGAATCTTACATGTGGTCTTGACTGAAGACATGGTATTCCACAAATCCCATGCCCATACTTATGAATAGTTGTAATCATTTTCCCTATTAAGCCATCAAATAGTTATCATCATTTTCCCTATTAAAACATATTCAAACATTGCCATCAATTTGCCAATTGGAGGCAACTTTTCATGTCCCAAGCAATTTCCCCAAGGTCCTGCTGATCCTTGTCCCCTCAACGCCGGTGCCGCCCTGGACGTCGCGGATGGTGCGACGAAGGTTGTCACGGCAGCGCCGACGGTCGCGACGACGCCAACAGCGGACATCTTCGACATGGATGGCATCGCTACGGGCGGTGCTTCGGTCTTCGGCGGCTACGCGTTTTCGGGGCACTGGCAGCTGAGCCGGAAAAAATGCCATCGGATGTGGATCTGCGCATGGTTTTTGCTAGCATGGGAATGATTGAAGGGGGTCTTTATTAGCGTATGTATTATGATGTATTATGCATAACTATGTTTATGTAAAAATAATTCATGAGTAATGCCAATAAATTGAGCAACCAGCTTCGAATGTTCAATCCACCTCAGGAACCGCCGTGGCCCGACAAAATCTTGGGATCCGCCGAAAATGGGTCTGCCTGAAAAAGGACGAATCTTAAATTCCCATCTCGTGGATTTTTAGGTTATATTTTGCGGGTAGAGGTCCATATTTGGAACATTTTTGAAGTGGGTCCATCCCTGCAATTAAAAAAATCGCAAAGTCATGCCAGTATATATCCGAAACCTATTTCACGGTGATGTTTCAGGTTGCCCTACATCTTTATCAAACGATTTCCATATGGAGGTTTCCTAAAATGGGGTTGCCCCAAATCATCTTAATAGGATTTTCATGGATTTTCCATCATTTTAAACCATCCATTTGAGAGATCCTCCGTGACTATGGAAACCCCACATCTGTATCAAACGGTCTCCATGCTGCTAGCATCATCAGAGCATCGAGTTACCCATCTGCTGCAAGAGCGAGATTTCCGTAGGGGCTGCATAGTGCAGGGAACATCAAAAACAAGTAAAATATACAAAATCTGCCTTTGCTTTGATTATCCAGCATACATCCTCATGTTTGGTAGTTAAATACGCATTTTCCCATTTTTGGTATTCTTCAGTATCTATTCGCCTCCAAATCTTCAAATGCAAATGTTTAATCAATGGAAATTTCAAGATCCTAAAATGGAGGTACTGTACCATATAAGGCCATATTTTCTAGGGATATTCCCTTACATAGGCCTTACATCCAATTTATTTTCCTGAAATGACCATTGATTTAATGATTTAAATATGTAATGGTCAACAGGTCGATTCTCCGCATCTTGCCAACCGCCAAGCGAATTTATCATAGTTGCCTGAAAATATTCGAAGTGATTCCCGTTATGGTTAGCTATAGATTTCCCTTTCTATGGATACCCTGTGGTAAACTAACATAACTATAAAAATTAACAATTTTTAATGGAAAAATCCAGGAACTAAATGGCCATTTTCAATAGCTATGTTAGTTTACCAGAGGGTATCCCCCAGTTTCAGACGACCAACAAGCTTGACCACACCTGAAACCATTGTGCATCCGGGCCAATGCCCAAAGGCTGACTGAGATCCAGAGTTAAGTCCATGGACACCTATGCGGCTAGAGGATTTATCTTTGTTATCTGGAGGATACACAAGATTTTTGAAACATAAAAAATATATATATATAATATATATATATACAATATATAATATATATATGTACATCTGTATGTATATATGCAGCTCCGGTTGTGGAAACCTCCTTGGTTTCAGCTGTTGGACATGGACAAAAGCGGATAACGACAGAGCTTGCATTGATAGAGGGTGTAATATCAAGAATTTGGGTTTAATATGATAAACTCTTGTGAAGTCGGGATATGTAAATAAATTTGTATATAATATATATGTATATTAAATATGCATGAATATATTAGCCAATACAATATTATCTACCCCCAATCGGGGATCCAGCAATACAAGAAACTACCAAGGCTAGAATCAGGAAGCCAGCAGCCAAGAAACCACTACGAAAAGGCAGCTGAGTGGGCTGCGAGTGAGGTACTCTCTTGTTGTTCGCGTCTTTTTCTTTGTTTTCTCTTTTTTTTCAGTTATTCTTTTTCTTCTTTCTTGCTCTTGCTGGTGCGATTGCTCTTTTTTCTCTTTTTGCTCGTTTTGCGCTAGTAGCAGTAGTAGTAGTAGTAGTAGTAGTAGTAGTTGTAGTTGTAGTTGTAGTAGTTGTAGTTGTAGTTGTTGTAGTTGTTGTACTTGTTGCAGTTATTGTGGTTATAGTAGTTGTAGTAGGTGTAGTAGTTGTAGTAGTAGTAGTAGTAGTTAGTAGTAGTAGTAGTAGTAGTAGTAGTTGTTGTAGTAGTAGTAGTAGTAGAAGTAGTAGTAGCAGGAGTAGGAGTAGGAGTAGTAGTAGCAGTAGCAGTAGCAGTAGCAGTAGCAGTAGCAGTAGCAGTAGTAGTAGCAGTAGTAGTAGTAGTAGTAGTAGGTAGTAGGTAGTAGGTAGTAGGTAGTAGTTAGTAGTTAGTAGTTAGTAGTTAGTAGTTAGTAGTTAGTAGTTAGTAGTTAGTAGTTAGTAGTTAGTAGTTAGTAGTTAGTAGTTAGTAGTTAGTAGTTAGTAGTTAGTAGTTAGTAGTTAGTAGTTAGTAGTTAGTAGTAGTAGTAGTAGTAGTAGTAGCAGGAGTAGTAGGAGGAGTAGTAGTAGTAGTTGTTGTTGTAGTTGTAGTTGTAGTTGTAGTTGTAGGTGTAGTTGTAGTAGTAGTAGTAGTAGTTGTTGTTGTTGTTGCTGTTGTTGTTGTTCCAGTCATCCTCTGTTAACAACATCAGTGGAACCAGGCACCTGCGGACAGACTCTGCAGGACTGCAGGACAGCTCACATTTCCCTTGAGGCTCACAGTTTCTTACATTTGGGGGTTTCCATAACTGGGGGTACCCCAATAGTTGGATGGTTTATAATGGAAAATCCCAATCTGACATGGATGATGACTCGGGGTACCCCCATTTCAGGAAACCTCCATTTCCAAACCTATGAATTTTATTTACATCATCCATCAGCATCCTGACAAAACTAATCATTTCCCCATTTTCGCTGCTTCAAAAGCACCAAAAAATCCCAGGCCTTCATTTCAACTTACAACTGGAAGGGGGGGGTGAAAATCTCAACATTTGTGGGTTAACTGCTAATTTCCCCTTTCTTTTTGGATGGTTCTCCCCCTACCCTCTGGTAAATTAACATTAGCTATTGAAAATGGCCATTTAGTTCGTTGATTTGCCCATTCAACATAAGGTGATTTTCCAGTTCGCACCATTTTAGTTTGCCAGAGGGGATTAATCACCATTGATCGCCATAAATTATAATTATTAACCACTATTCATATCTATTACTCCCTCTATTAACCACTATTATAGCATTGATCCATTATATGGGGGTTTCCATAACTGGTGGTACCCAAGAGTTGGATGGTTTATACTGGAAAATCCACCTACCCCATTTCAGGAAACCTCCATTTCCAAACCGACGAATTTAATTTACATCATCCATCAACATCCTAACAAAACTAATCATTTCCCCATTTTCGCTGCTTCAAGAGCACCAAAAAATCCCAGGCATTCCCCAGCCACCCCTCAGGGCCTCCATGGCTTTCGGCTTCACTTCCTCCACCGAAGGCGGCTCTGCTTCCTTCGGCTCTGCCAAGGGCGGCACCAAGAAGACCGCGGAGACGGCGGTGGTGCCTTCCTCCTTCAGCGCCTGGCGAGAAAATCGGGGAAAAGTGATGGGATAGATCCCAGTTGGGGAGAACATCATGGGATATATATATATATATATATACATATATATATATGTAATATTATAAATCAATATTATTATGATATATCATTTAATATATAATTATTTTATGTATATATATATATATTAATATATTACTTAAGGATTTTTCCAAGCTATTTTAGCATGGTAAAATTGATCGGCAATGGTGGAATTTTGTACCCCAAAAAAAGCTGCTGGGGACCATCTTGAAAATACCCAGAACTTGCTGGCTTTTAGATGGGAATGATCTACAAAACTTCATAAATTGGGACGGGGATATATATATATATATATAAATCCCATTGTATATATATATAAATCCCATTGTATATATATATATCCCATGATCTACCTTATTTTAGATATTTATTTAGTCGATTTTAGATGAATTAATAGGTATATTCGGGCATAATTTTAAAAATCCATTCTGGTAATTGATATGATAATACCGTTTTAGGTGAATGATCTATAATATAATGGGATATATCATTTATTTAGATCATGATGAGAATGGAATATGCTAAAACCTCATTGATGGGGTTTGTTGTACGTTTTTTTGTGGGGCATATCTAGGGCTCGACCCCAAAACTTGCAAGATGTGATTTGGGTGATGTGCCTTTTCTTGTGGCAATCTATCTCTATTTTTGCGAGGGACATGAAACATTTTATGGTTATTTCGGAGAAAATCAGCAGTTTCTGGATTTCGATTGGTTTTTTTAGTCTGGGGCAATTCTGGATACTTGAATAACCTTGGTGATTTCATGGCGTCCACAGGCTTTTTGGGAATGCTGGTAAAATTCTGGGGGTAGACATCATGGCTGCTTTCTCTCTTTGTTTTTTCGTAAACTCAGGTTTTTGAGTGTGAAAGAACTTGAAATCATTTTTATGAGGCAGTTTCTGGTTTTTCTGGGAGGGCAATCTCAATCTGGCTGTGGTAAACCTCTCTAACATTAATGAAACAGTCAACTGATGTCGGGATTATCATCCCAAATGATCATCCCAAATGCCTCGAACTATACTAAGAACCTTGTACACATTGAAATCCCAACACCAATTCATTATAAGATACCCATCTACATGTAATATGTCATTCCAACCCATATTGATTATCGTCCCAAATGATTAGATTCAATTCTTGCGGGGGTTTCATCTAGGGATGTTCCTGACCCATGCCAGGGAGGTCATCCTCAACAAATTGCCTGGTGTGAACCTCCGTCACGGGTAAATCACTATAAATCTATGTTTGATGGCTTCTTCAAATTTCCATGTTTAATTGATAAATCATATCAAATCAGCATCTGATTCATATGAAATTACAATTTATCCCATCAGCAATGTCAATTTTCGCATCAAAAATGGTGATGTTCTTAAACAAAAGGGTGATTTTCCCATCAAACATGTCCATCTTCCTATCAAAATACTGGTTTTACTTATCCACCATTGTGATTTTCTCATCAAAAAATGTGGTTTTCCGATCAAACAAACATGGTGATTTTCCCATCAACAACATCCCTTTCCACATAAGAAAAATGCAGTTTCCATACACATGCCGATTTGCCCATCAAACATTGTCCCCACCATGTGCCTCTCCGCAGCTTCCGGCATTCATGTTTTGGTCCCAAAACTTCCCCCTCCGTCTCTCAGCAATTTTTTGCATGTATCTTCATGTATCTTCATTTAGTTTCAATGTCTAGGCTTCACCCCTCATCTCTCAACAACTTTTTGCACTCATCCTGTTTCAACATCGAACTTTCCCTTCCCCCTATGTGCCTCTCAATTTCCTGCATCCATGTCGCTTCATACGTAGACTTCCGCCATTGGCCTCTCCACCACTTCTTACGTTTTTGTTGTTTCAATATCCGAACCTCCCCTGCATCAACAACTTCTTGCATGCATCTTGTCTCAATATCTACATTCCTCCCACCCTGTACCAGGCCCAAAAAAACATGTACAGGTTCAAAAAAAGAAGGCGCCAAGGTCCAAAAACATCCAGCCCAATGTGAGCGCCTGTAACAATAGAGTTCCCCCCTCCACCCTATATGGAGGCAAGGTCCACGATGCAGGCGCACGGGTCCAAAAAAAAGAAACCGAGGTTAGAAACAATTAATTTGGCTGTCTAACAAAATTTCCCTGGGCCCAGCACAAATACATGCAGGTCCAAAAAAAGCCCACAGGGTCCAGAAAACACACAGGCAAGTCCCTCACATTTTTTGTGCACCCAGGTCCAAAAAAAAATCCGGCCAGGTTCAAAAAAACATGTACAGGTCCCAAAAAGGGTGCCCAGGTCCAAAAAACATGCATCCCGTATACAAAACCAAGATTGCGGGTATTCGCCAATAGACTGCTCACAAAGAAAAAGGTTCAGGTCCTTTACCATCACAGAATGGTCGCCCGAAGCCTCTTTTGCATTGATAGCTATTGGGGGACGCGTAACAGAAATTAAGCACTGCCTGCACAACTGACAGATATCATGCCTAACCGATGGGAAGCAGTAAAGCTTTGAAGGCTCGATGGCAAGGTCACCCGCTCCAGGCTTTGGTTGAAATCATGGCCAAAACTCAAGCTTTGAAGGCTCGACGGCAAGGTCACCCGCTCCAGGCTTTGGTTGAATTTCTCGCCAAAACTCAAGCTTTGAAGACTCGACGGCAAGGTCACCCGCTCCAGGCTTTGGTTGAAATCGCTGCCAAAACTCAAGCTTTGAAGACTCGATGGCAAGGTCACCTGCTCCAGGCTTTGGTTGAAAGTCCCGCCAAAACTCAAGTTTCGAAGACTCGATGGCAAGGTCACCCGCTCCAGGCTTCGGTTGAATGTACGGCCAAAACTCAAGCTTTGAAGGCTCGACGGCAAGGTCACCCGCTCCAAGCTTTTGTTGAATGTCCCGCCAAAACTCAAGTTTCGAAGACTCGATGACGAGGTCACCCGCTCCAGGCTTTGGTTGAAATCGCTGCCAAAACTCAAGCTTTGAAGACTCGATGGCAAGGTCACCCGCTCCAGGCTTTGGTTGAAAGTCCCGCCAAAACTCAAGTTTCGAAGACTCGATGGCAAGGTCACCCGCTCCAAGCTTTGGTTGAATTTCTCGCCAAAACTCAAGCTTTGAAGGCTCGACGGCAAGGTCACCCGCTCCAGGCTTTGGTTGAATTTCTCGCCAAAACTCAAGCTTTGAAGACTCGATGGCAAGGTCACCCGCTCCAGGCTTTGGTCGAAACTAAAGCCAAAACTCAAGCTTTGAAGGCTCGATGGCAAGGTCACCCGCTCCAGGCTTTGGTTGAATGTCCCGCCAAAAGTCAGTTTTGCAAGGCTGCAGGGAAGATAACGTAAATACTCTCCACCTGTCGCTGCCTCAAGTTGCGTAACACCTTCCAGCGCAATCTCTCTATCACTAGTTGGGAGCCCACAAGCACAACACCATGCCGTGTACACATTTGTCGGTATGTAAGTGCAGGACAGCATTGCAGATTTCCCAACAATTCCTTGCTCTGCCAAGGTTTGACTCAGCGTCAGCTTTGTATGCACATGATGCACGGCGAGCTTTGCGCCTGGCTTGCATGGAAGCTTCTCTGTCACCAATCTGCGCAGCTCATATCCAAGCATAGAGCAAGGGACGCTTAGTGTCACTCCTTCGCCAGTCAAGCAGAGCACCTGAAGAGCGACCTCACCAGTTTCATCTGCTGTACCTTTGTCAGTAGATGACGGATCCACATAGCCATGTTGAGCACCGGACATTGTCAGAAATTAGATGTACCATCCATAGCTAAAGATTAAAGCACTAGAGACTAGAGTATCAAACCAATTTTGGCTGAGTATCCAGGTTTTCTTCATCATTATTGAAGATTCTTTACACAGCTTTGCCCGCTTTCCAGCAATTTCATGTGGGATTCAATGGTTTGGTTTGAGGATACAGACTGCAGGAAACCATGCTTGTTTGTCTCCAAATTCAAGGGTTTCTGATTTTTTTCCTCTCCAACCGATTTTTGGAATGATTACATACCAGTAGTACCGCGCAAGGCGGTGGCGGAAGCTTCAAAAATAGGAAGCCTATAGGAAGGGTTGGTTGTTGTGACTCACGGATGGCATAGCGAATCCACTGATGGACTGAAAGGTGGTTGGAGTTGTATTTTCCGGAGTGGTTGCAATGGTTGCAGTGGTCCCCTCACCGCATTGCTGGATGTAGTGTGGTGTAGTGCAGGTGTGGTTGTAGTTGTAGGTGTAGTGTCGTGGAGTTGTCATTGTAAGTTGTAGTTGTGATGTAGTGTAACTAGTGAAGTGTACTTGAAGTTGTGGTATGGTGTAATTAGTGTAATGTAGTGTAGCTGTAATTGTAGTTGTAGCTGTGGTGGTGGTAGTAGTAGTGGTAGTGGTAGTGGTAGTCGTAGTCGTAGTAGTAGTAGTAGTAGTAGCAGTAGTAGTAGTAGTAGCAGTAGTAGTAGTAGCAGCAGCAGTAGTAGTAGTAGTAGTTAGTAGTAGTTAGTAGTTAGTAGTTAGTAGTTAGTAGTAGTTAGTAGTTAGTAGTTAGTAGTTAGTAGTTAGTAGTTAGTAGTTAGTAGTTAGTAGTTAGAAGTAGTAGTAGTAGTAGTAGTAGCAGTAGTAGTAGTCGTCGTCGTAGTAGTAGTAGGAGTAGTAGTCGTAGTAGTAGTAGTAGTGGTGGTGGTGGTGGTGGTGGTGGTGGTGGTAGTGGTAGTGGTAGTGGTAGTGGTAGCGGTAGTAGAAGCAGAAGCAGAAGTAGAAGTAGAAGTAGAAGTAGTAGTAGTAGTAGTAGTAGGAGTAGTAGTAGGAGTAGTAGGAGTAGTAGTAGGAGTAGTAGTAGGAGTAGTAGTAGTAGTAGCAGGAGTAGGAGTAGGAGTAGGAGTAGGAGTAGGAGTAGTAGTAGTAGTAGTAGTAGTAGTAGTAGTAGTGTAATGTAGTGGTACTTGTAGTTGTAGTTGCAGTTGTAGTTGCAGTTGTAGTTGTCTATCTATCTATCTGTTTATCTACAAGCTTGAAAACGAAGCTATTCTGGGAGACTTCCTCAATTTTTGAACTTGACAACATCAAAAACACAACAATTCTGCGAGATTTCCTGAATTTTTGAATTTGACAACATCAAAAACGAAACAAGTCTGCGAGACGTTCTCATTTTTCGAAGTGACAACATTTAAAAAACGAAGCAATTCTGCGAGACTTTCTTCAAAAATGGAAAGTTGAGTGCAGAGCTGACGGCCTCGAGCCAATGCGCTTTGCATTTTTTCCATTCCACCTATCTAAAGTATTGCGCCTGCCACGAAAAAGCGAGGCCAGGTCATACGAAGTGCTGCGCCTGCATGTCTCTTGTACTTCGCCTGCCACGCGAAATGCATCTGTGCAGACCCTCTGCAAATCTCCCACGCCTGCCATCGTTTTTAGACATGCTAAAAAAACCTCACGCTTTGCTCAGTTTTGGCAAGGTGCAGAATCCCTTGCGCCTGCCACGCAAAACTACATCTGAACCTTCAAAGACGGTCCGAACATGGTGTGTTTTGTACATTGACTTGGAAATGTGCTTTGCGCCCCCCCCCCAGCGTGCACTTTTTCGACATCAACTTCCAAAAGTGGTCCGACGCTGGCGTGCTTTGTACATTTTGACTTGGAAATGTGCTTCGCGCCACAACGACGTGCACATCCAAAATGGTGATATTCCCATCCAAAATGGTGATTTTCCCATCAAAATTGGTGACGTTCCTATCAAAAATGGCGATTTTCCCATCAAACATGGTGATATTCTTATGAGAAATTGCGATTTTCCATATCTTTCTGGCTTCAAACCATCCATTTTTCACGGGAACTCCCCATCTCAACGGAAACGACCTGAATCTTGGCGACCAACTCGCGGGTCTCTTTGAACTTTTCGCCTCATGGGGAGAGGGTGCCCATTTGGGTGCACGAAACTGTAGGGAGCCGTGCTGAACCAAGAAAAACGGGTAATTTCATGGGATTTATAGCTGATTGATGTTAAAATGGTGATTTGATTCATGGTGATTTGATGGTGATTTGATTTATGGGATTAACAAGAAAAACATGTGATTATTTTTTATTGCATTTATAATAAGTTTATGGTTAGCTAAGTTGGTTTCTTCACTGGAGCCCCAGTTTCTTAGCTAAGTTGGTGAACATAACTAGGTGAACTGTGGCTAGCTAGGGTTTATGGCAGGTATATCATATATCCATGTTGTCCTTAATTGGTTTAGTTCACTAGGTGAATATGAGCTATCGTTTATGGTAGGTATATCGAACTAGTTAATGGGGTTAAAAACCAGCTTATATCTGGGAGAGCACCACGTTGTCGGTTCATCTATCCCGTATCAATGCATATTAATGGATGTAGGATAAATTGGGTGCAGAAATCTATATGGATTGATGATCGTCTCCCAATATGGGTATATAATTCAACATATGATCTTCGTACAGGGTACGATGAAGATCGAACAAAGAGATTCCGTGAACTTGGACGACAGAAGCATACAGAAGCCATTTTGGCTGTACGTTGAGATGGCGCCGTGATCGACGTCCTCGTCTGGCTGCGAAGTCCTCCTCGGGAAAAGCAGCCTCTTGGGGGAACTCCTCTTCCTCGTTACTCGACAGGTGATCTCTGAACTTTCCAAATCACTCGGCTCCTGATCTTCAAAAACGCCAAGGTGGTGCTTCAGTTCCTAGGTGCTGTCTTGGTGGTCAAAACCTGCCTAGGTGAACGAAGTTGTGTCTATGGTGGATCTTTTTTTGGGCAAAACCAAGAAACATCAGGCATCACCTATGATCGAGTCCATTTTATGGAAAACTGATATCGATCAAGCAACACCCAAATCATCACTGGAAAATCGACATGACTTCTACCCCAAATCACCTAGTCGTTGTAGGTGAATGTAAAACACACAATATCTGGATACGGAAAATCACCAAGCTGAAAAGTTCGGCAATCTTCCGAAAAAATCCAATCAACCCTGAAAATGAGTGAGGTTATTAGAATTCATCCAGATACTATATGGATTAAATATCTTCATCCCATGGTTTCAACCTGCTAAGCATACTAAATCCACTGTTTTGATACTCAAAGTCTCCTTTGTCAACGCTTAACCTCTATTTTGTTCAGTCTTGACAGTGAACAGCAAAGCATCAGGGGTTTGACCCACTCTGGTGACATGCCATGGTTCAACCCAGAAGGGCAGGTAGTCAACCTTGGACCCTTAGATCTGTTCACCCATTTCAATCTAACTTGATGAACTACCACACCTATTTCCAGCAGTTCCCAGGCAATTGAACCTTGATTGGAGTTTCATTAGTTATCAACTCAATCCACTTATGTATCCCCGATCCATTTATTTATGGTTTACCCAACATACTTGGGGAATATATTTCTGGCTGATTTCAGAGAGCGGAGCTGGTGTCCCAGTAGTTTGGATTTCTGCCAGCGAGTCAAGGGACAACAAATCCGAAATGTAGTTTGTTGATGTGGTTAGTTTATGGACACCAACTAGCCAATAGATTTCAACTAAACTTCTCTGCGTGGTTAGTTGAAATGTCACAATACGACCAGCACAGGAAAACCTACTGAGAAGTTGATGATCTCCAGGCGGAATTTCCCCGAGGTCACCAGGTTAGGTTCGAGGGCCCAACAAATACGTGTAGACTGAACCAGCAGCGAATCAAAATCATAGTGAGCAACGGTTTTTTGGGGAAAAAAAGGTGGCTTCAGAATAGGAATCAGAATGGGGATAGCTGAGAAAAGATCTATATAGTTGACCATATAACAAACTATGAATATGTAATTAATGAGCAAAACGCATACACACATGTATATATAGAATTATATAGTTAATTATACATAATGTACATATCTTATGCTGTGTACATATATAGAACTTACATACAATAAGTTCACAGCTTCCCATGATTCGCCGAGTGCACCTGCTAAAGACACTGCGCGCCATCCGGGTTGGACTCCCAGACGTGCACTCTGCGAACCTGCGCCAAATTCGCAGTCGCAACGCGCAAGGAAAATCTAAGGATGGCATGGGGCAATCTTCCATAGATCCACCGTAAATATCGTAAATCCTCCATAGTCTTCCATTTATCATCCATAAATCCTCCATAAAGAAATGGGAGATCCAAGGATGCGTTAGTTGCCGAAACCGGTCTTGTACATCGGGGCATGTCGTTGCGGCGACAACTGTCGGAATCGGTCTTGTGCTTCTTGGTCAGACCGTGTGGACCCCAGAGTGACCGTTTGTCGAGGTGACCTTACCCTCCGTCTAGGGTTTGCAGCAGCAGGGTGAACAGCTTCAGAATGCGTTTCAGGTCGTACACCTCCAGGTCGTCCAGCCTCTGGGCGTGCCGCATCCAAGTGCTGCTTCAGGGAGTGCGGCGGTTCTGTCCCTGCTGAGGTATGGCAATCCAAGAACCTGACGACGTCGGGGAGGGTGCCATGGCCGCACACTCCTGAACTAATTACCATCTGGTTATGACTAACATAGCCATGGAAAATCTCTATAAGTGGAGGTTTCTAGCTGGGAAAATCATCTATCAATGGGCCATCTATACCATGGCTATGTTAAATAACCAGAGGGTACTATAAATGGGATATCCATTGAAAATTGTTGGCTATCCCACTGTTTCTCATTTAAGCGGAACACGGCTTTTCGCTAATGCAGTTTTAGTGAGCCACTGTGGGCGGTATTCAGGCAAACTTGGATATCCCGTTCTTCGGTGCCATGGCTACTACTATAGCAAGTAGGCAAACTACATGATAGTCAGTAGGAAATGACATCAGAATCATCTCTATTTGACAAAAACAACCCGTCGCGCCGTTTTCCGTACGTGCGTTTTGCACCATTTCATTATCATCAGGTCCACTTCAAGTGTATTTCGTTTGTATTTCGTGTGGGAAAAATGAAATATTTTTGTGTAGCATGCACAAAATGATGTGGAATTTGGCTGGTGTTTTTGAAAAAAAAACAAATTTCGCTTGTGTTTTCATCCAATTTTGTCCGAGAATTATGTGAAATTTAACATCGTTTGGAATAGGCTCTGCCCGCATAACATGTGTCATCGCATCAAAATGGGAAAGACAGAACGTGGCCTGCGTGGTATATTCATCATCATTTTTGTCCAAAAATAGTCGAAATCAATGCGCATTTAGAGTGGTTTTCCTTTTTTTTTTCCGTCTCGCTGTGGTGCCGTACAAGTTTTTTTTGAAAATGTTGTTTTCCCAATGACACCTATCAGAACACAGACTGCGCACTTTGTTTTCTTCTTCACTTTCGAAGCAAGTTGAGCTGGTGGATTGTCTTCGTGCGAATTAGAGTGAGGCGATTGATATACCTCCATTGGAACGCGCGCAAGTAAACCTCAATCAATTCTGATTGGCTTCCTAGCTGTTTTGGAATGAATGCCTAGCAGCCACTCCAAACTTGGTCAATTGTTCCGGTATGTACTTGAATGACCTCTCGTCCTCGTCTCAGTTCACCAGTAGACTGGCCAGCTGAATGGTTCACCACACCATGAAGAAGGTTCAAGGTTGAGGACATTCTTTTGTAGCAACGAGCACCATCAGTAAGAAGAACGGAGCGACGACGATCAGTTGTGGGAACAACAACTTCACAAGCTCCACTTTTTTCGATTTTCCCCCAACTCTCCGGGGGAGGTTTTCCTCCGCGTTTCACTCGGGCGTGGCAACATGTAACGTAGTAAACGATCCCAGAGATCTCAGCAGCGTAGCAATGGATCATGTACGAAGTACAAGGTACGTGAACATCCCCCACCCCCCCACCCCACCCCATCAGCAGCGTAGCAACATGTAACGTAGTAAACGATCCCAGAGATCTCAGCAGCGTAGCAATGGATCATGTACGAAGTACAAGGTACGTGAACATCCCCCACCCCCCCACCCCACCCCATCAGCAGCGTAGCAACATGTAACGTAGTAAACGATCCCAGAGATCTCAGCAGCGTAGCAATGGATCATGTACGAAGTACAAGGTACGTGAACTCCCCCACCCCCCCCACCCCACCCCACCCCAACATAGCGATATTCAAAAATGTGCGTTTTACTCGTACGGTTTTCGGGGCGTAAGCACAGAGTTTAATTACATATTTCACAGAAAAAAGGGAACACATAACATAAAATCTCGTCAAGACATGAGCAACGAAGGAATTTCAATCTCGTCTTCCCAAAATATGGATTGGCGAATATTCAAGCCCATGGAATTTGGTCCACTCAACCTCGTCTTGACGGCGCGGTGCCATGCTGTGCCTATTGCATATCTGAAGGCCCCACCGTTTGAAGGTTGAATCTCAAGTCTTGAAGGTTCAAACCTCTTGTTTGACAGCAAAACTCTTGCAGATAAAAAACCATTGGAGGTTTCCTAAGTCATGGGGGTATCCCTAAATCATCCAAGTCCTCAAACCATTTCAGTTAATGCTAAGGTCCCCATTCTTGATGATAAACATGCCGAAAAAAAAACAGCTGTGCCTCCGTTCACTTGATCTGCTTCCAGAAACCTTGGGGAAGCTCGGGAGTTTCTTGGTATAGGGTTCCATATTGTGTTTCTTGCAGATTCCAGCAAAAACCAACTTTTGGACAAGTCGGCTGGTGGTTTGAACCCCTGTGACAAAGACCAAGAGGGTAACCAGTTGTATTCCAGTTACTATCCAGTTCCTGGTTGGTGGTTTCAACCCCTCTGAAAAATATGAAAGTCAGTTGGGATGATTATTCCCAATATATGGAAAAATAAAACATGTTCCAAACCACCAACCAGTAGTAAAATCCACATTCTTCACCATGTTTGATGGTGAAATCATTGTTTTGGGCTCGGTCACAGTGAGGTCGTTATAATTTACCCAGAATCATGAATCAGCAGCAACAATCCCCATGAAATCCTCATTCTGGGCGAACTTCTCGTGGCTTCGGTTTCGTTACCTCCTTCCGACCCTTCGGAACGGACGTGGATTCCGTCGGGGATTCCGTCGCCAGGGGACTTGTTGAAGAGGATCCCCAGCGGCTGCGTTAGGTCCACCTCCTTGGCGCATGGCAGCGAGAGTTTCTGGTAAAGATATAAAAAAAAACATCAAAAACCTATCGAAAATCACCATTCTTAATGGGTAAATCCACTATAAATCACCATTGTTCATAGGTAAATCCAATATGAATCACCATTGTTCATGGGTTCAACAATAATTCTAATTTCTATGATTTCTATGGCCATGTTCCATCGTCAATCATGTTAGTTGACCAGAGGGTAAATGGCTGGGAACAGACGAAGTCCAGATTCTCCAAATCTTCGTAGCCTCTCCGTTGGCGAATCGAAGGGCACTGGGACCCTGGGATCTTCGGCTTGACGGACCAGCTGGCGAACTCTCCGTTGCTGTCCAAGAACTTGTTGTAAATTGGATGCGAAGGTCACAGAAAGACACCGTTCGAGTGATCGATAGCCTTCGGGTGGGAGAAACCCGCCCGGGTGTTCTACTATCAAGTCAGGCAATAAGCGATGAAATGATCGTTGTGTTACCGCATTCAATCAAACCAAATAGCGTAAAGAATGACTTGCTTCGAACCATGTCCCCACCTAACCAATCATTTGCATATGTGCTTGTTCAGAATGTTTCTCATCCGTAACCAATAGCACGATCTAGGTTTCTGAATGGCAATACAATTTCCCGAATCACTTCTGGACTATCGTCCGATGTTTTATCCCGTGGTTTGTTGACAAAACCAGCACCTCACGCTTTCCATGTACTCCCATAAGAATTGCGTCAACCCACATGAGCCCCCAAAATGATGGCCGGGCGGTAAAACCAGGTGTTTCTGCTGGGTCTGGCCCACCATGGTAAACTTACCTCCATCTTTGATGGTCAATTCCCCCCAACTGTAGGTCTACCATAACTAGGGATATTTCAAGGAATTATTTCAACTAGGGATATATCTACCAGTAGTACCGCACAAGGCGGTGGCGGAAGTTTCAGACTAGGAAACCTATAGGAGACGTTGGTTGTTGTGAATCACGGATGGCAGAGCGAATCCACTGATTGACCGAAAGGTGGTTGGAGTCGTGTTTGCTGGAATGGTTGCAATGGTTGCAGTGGTCACCTCACCCACAACTGCTGGATGTAGTGTGATGTACTGCAACTGTAGTTGTAGCTGTAGCGTAGTGGAGTTGTAGTTGTGGCGTAATGTAATTAGTGTAGTGTAGTTGCAGTCATATAGTTGTAGCTGTAGTTGTAGTTGTTGTAGTTGTAGTCGTAGTAGTAGTTGTTGTTGTTGTAGTTGCAGCTGTAGTTGTTGTGTAGTTGTAGTTGTTGTGTAGTGTAGTTGTAGTTGTAGTTGTAGTTGTAGTAGTAGTTGTTGTTGTTGTAGTTGTAGTAGTTGTTGTTGTTGTTGTAGTTGTAGTTGTTGTTGTTGTAGTTGTAGTAGTAGTAGTAGTTGTTGTTGTTGTAGCTGTAGTTGTTGTAGCTGTAGTTGTTGTAGTTGTAGTTCTAGTTGTTGTGTAGTTGTGTAGTTGTAGTTGTAGTTGTAGTGGTAGTAGTAGTAGTAGTAGTTGTTGTTGTTGCTGTTGTTGTTGCTGTTGCTGTTGTCGTCGAAGTTAGGGTAGTTTAGTTAGTGAAGTTAGTTAAGTTAGTCAAGTTAGTTAAGTTAATCAGTGTCTACTTTTTCGACATCTTCACGTCAAAAAAGGCTCAAAACCCTCAGCTTTTTACACTTTTGACTTCGAAATGTGCTTCGCGCCACAACGGCGTGCACTTTTTCGACACTTTTTCGACATCTGAACCTCCAAAAGTGGTCCAAACCCCTCGTGTTTTGAACATTTTGACTTGGAAATGTGCTTCGCGCCACAACGGCGTGCACTTTTTCGACATCTCAACCTCCAAAAGTGGTCCGAACCCCTAGTGTTTTATAGATTTTGACTTGGAAATGTGCTTCGCGCCACAACGGCGTGCACTTTTTCGACATCGGAACTTCCAAAAGTGGTCCGACATTGGTGTGTTTTGTACATTTTGACTTCAAAATGTGCTTCGCGCCACAACGGCGTGCACTTTTTCGACATCTCAACTTCCAAAAGTGGTCCGCTCCTCTAGCGTTTTGTCCATTTTGACTTGGAAATGTGCTTCGCGCCACAACGGCGTGCACTTTTTCATGTCTCATCTGGCCAGCTGGCTCCGCACCCGCCGCTTTAGCGAGCCTACTTTTCGACCCTCCGGAGCCACAAATCATTGGAAAAACGCAGTGAATCGCGACTTTCCTATCTTTTCGCGCATCTGCATCTTCTTTCTTCTGATCTTGTCTCTTCTGACTCGTCTCACCTCTGCTTTTCAACTGTCCATATTGTCGGAAGTTTCACTTCTAAACTTCCTTCGACCATAACTAATGTGTATCGAGTTTTGAAATAATTCCTTGTATACACATCCTTCTTCCACTGGAAAGCTGGGGGTTGATGCAATTTCTCGGATTATCAACGTGTATGACTTGTTGATTTTGACATGATCACTGCTTCATGAAAAAACAACTGCAATGTGGTGCCGCATACTTAGCTAAGATGGTTTATAGCTAGGTTCTCTATGGATCTCCATGGTGTATTGTAGATTCTTATATAGAATAAACCAACAAATTAAATCGCCATTTTTGTTGGTTACACCATTTCCCTATGGTTATATCTATAGTTTCTGTGGTTTATAAAAACCAAGAACCATCACTGGTGTGGGGCACCACCTTGGAGGGACCATCGCTTCATCACTCAGTGGCGTGGCGCCAAGCGTCCAGAGTGACTTCGCGCATGTTCTTCCTCACTTCTTCCTGGAGAACATGTGAAAGAAACCGTTGGAAAATGATGTGTTGAAGGAAATGTTGACATCATTTTCCAACTGAAATGTCTTCCTGAAAGAAACCCTTGGAAAATGATGTCAACATTTCAGTGCTTGACCTGGTTCACCGACGATTTTTTTCCATAGTCAGAAGGGACTTCACATCAATATGACCCCCAAAAAATTGACATATTTTTCACTGAAAACTAATCTTTCAATCTCCAACTCATGGCAGGGACCACGTTGGTGGTAACACCTACACATTGATGTCCAAGGTGGGCGTTGAGTTGCGTGTGTTGCTTTAGTTTCAACTTCATTTCATTGTAGAGATATTCACCATATCTCCAACAGTTCTTGTAGTTACCAACTGAAACCTGGTCTCACATGAAGGCTTTTTCATCTGGCTTTCAATACTATAATACAAAAACTGGTTTGTAATATCCTATAATACCTGGTTGGTGGTTTTAACCATCTTGAAAAATATGAAAGTCAATGGAAAGGATTATCCCATATATGAAATGGACAATAAAATTCATGTTTGAAACCACCAACCAGACTCTAAAATGGTTCATGATGTGAACGCCTGCTTAAGAACATGTCTGAATCCCTTGGAGATGAAAGGGCTGACCCTGTTTCCAGGGCGGTCCGCTGAAATGGGGCAAATCACCCATTGATGGGGATTCTATGGTGATTAATAGGGCTTAATGGTGTTTAATGGTGTTTTATAGGGATTCTTTGGTGATTAAGGTACTTACTACACAAGTCTACTGACCAGTTGCAGAGTGAAAAACTGATCCTCCAAGCAGTCCTGATTGTGATGAAATGTCGCTGGGAAATTCTATTTTCTTGCTTCATTGCCCACAATTCATCCGAAAGCAAGATGGGAATGTCTCACCACACCCCCATGCTTCATCCAGATCTTAGTGACTGAAATAGTAACTCCTCGAGGTATTCTCCAGTTCTTGTCCAAAGAATGGGTGCAAGTAAATCAATTGATCAATCATCATTTTCCCCATTAGAATAGACATACCTTGGTGGAATATACCTCAATTCTTATTGGTAAATCCTCGTATTTTAGACACACATCACTATAAAATAGACATTAAATGTTTAGTGAAATCCAATCACGCCCCCGTTTATTGATGATTTTCCGTAATGTATCATCTTATTCTAAATCTGTTTTCAAGCAGAACAGTATTCCTATTGTATTCTTATCATGTGTATTGACGGGTTATTTATCACCATTTTTTTTTAACATTCTCCATTTGGAGATTTCCTAAACTAGGGGTACCCCCAGTTCTCATCCATTTTCGCTTGGGATTTTCCATGAAGTAAACCATCCAGCAATAAAGGGGTACCCCCCATTTATGGAAATCCCCATATGAATTTCCCCAGGTATTTTGGAATATGATCGGAAAATGGACCATTGATAGATGATTTACCTAAAAAACAGTGATTTTCCATAGCTATGTTAGTTTACCAGAGGGTAAATTCTTCATTTTGTGGGAAGCACCAGCTTCGCCATCGGTTTACTGTCCTCCTCGCGTTCCAACGTTAAGGCCCTCTCCCGCATCAGGGCCGCGGCGCTCGCAGCACCCAACTGCGGCGCAGGACTCGGGGTCTACGTGCGATTTAGGTGATTCATCTATTAACATTCTATCTGGGTAAACTATAATAATTCACTAGCCTAAAATAAGGCCATTTTGGGGTGATTCCTCTTGTTAACTTTGATTTCCAGTGAGTTATAATTTACTCGGATTCTGTGAAGCACATCGATTTCTGATTTTAGTCCATCATTTTGCTCCTGAATTTCAATTCCCTATCATGTTTTTAATGAAAAGAACCAAACATGGTGGTTTAGTGGGTGATTACTGTGTGACAACTGGTATAACTGCCAATTTTTCTTGGTCAAATGACAATGCATGAATATAATTATATTGGTTCCATGCCCAATTTCATAAGTAGCTATATACCTGAATAGCCCCCGTCGACTTTTTTTTAACCCCAGGTATCTTTATCCATTTTTGACTTTCATCTACCATGTTGCTGGTTGATCCCTTAGTTCAAACCACCACATTTTCTATTTCACGTGCCGGCCATCTATTTGAGGCTCTCATCTCCTAGGAGAGGACCGCCCTTCACCAGCAGGGTTATTGCATTGAAAAAAACTGTATGGAACCTGGAAGATATGAGGGTTTCCATAGTCATGGGGTACCCTGACTATAGCTGGATGGTTTATTTCATGGAAAATCCCAATCTAAAATGGATGAGAACTGGGGGTAGCCCCATTTCAGAAAAGCTACATCTTGGATTATGGTTGCAGCCCATCCCATTTGCTGCTCAACTAGGGGTACGAAGGATGGATTTGGGTAGGGACAGGATCATTTCAACTCAGGGTAAGCCTAGAATATCCACGTTGGATTAAGATTTAGCCTTAATGATTCATCAGAGGCCCCACCCTTCATTTCATCTCAGATGTTGCCGCCTATCATCTGCATCCCCCACCATGCTAATGGCAATTGTGATATCAGACCATCAGACATGCCTTTGTCTTGGGTGACTTTGGCCAAAGGACTGATCTGATCAAAAAACACGAAAAGTATACCTTCCGGTGAGTAGCCACAAATTCAATATGTAACTTCTGCATAATGTCCATGACCTGCCAGCGAACTTTCCCGCCCGGCGGGGCGGTACCGTCCTCAGCAATTCGACATGGAAAGAGTGCAGTGCGAATGTTTTCTTGTAGTATAAACATTCGAGTATGTTATTGCCAAAGGCAAACCGAAAACTACGAATTGGAATTGGAATCACATGTGATTGAATACATTTGGTCCAGCACAGAGCTATAGGGTATGCTGGGTATTTCCTGACAACTTCGAATATTTTCAATCTCAAAAACCCTCCTATTCCAAACATTGGCGACCACAGATTGAGTTGTCTACTACTTGGAGGGCAGCGCAACTAACGTACCTCAACCACTGTCAAGTCCTTGAAGTCAAGTTGGATGTGCTGGGTGGGAAATCAATGCATCCTTCTACCCACATCCAATCCACTGGGCGGCAATCCCTGACGGGTGCGGCTCGTGCCGTTTTGAAGCTACTGATAAAAGAACCAATGTGTGCTTCATCGGAGAGTTTGGCCGTGACGTGATCGTATTGTTACGTGTCCAAACAACTCCATCGCTCTCATTTTGGTTTCGTTGTTCCCAGTAGTACTGGTGATGAGCGATGCGCATTGCAATATCTCTCCTCCTTTCTTCGTCCTCCTCGCAGAGATCTTCCGAGCGCATGAAGTTGCGCCTCCGCTGCTGGAATTTTCGTCAGCTTGGCAGACTGCAGGCTCTTCCACATGGCTCTCTGGCCGTAGGTCGCAGCCTCTGCCGTGGCGCTTGATCCGCTGCTTCACCAGTGACCTGTACAACAAGAATCTGCCGCAACTAAGTCATGCAGCAAACCATTCACCATTAAAGTTTGACCCAAACCCATTTTGAACCCTTAAATTACTGTAGATCTTTCAACCACCATGTTCCAAATCCTTACATGTCTGGTTTGAAAACTGTATCCATCGCCGGTCAAAACCATATTTCCCTAAGTTAAATCCCCGCTTCTGCTGGGGAATCTGGCTCAAATGCCAGCATTTTTCTCACTTAAATCCTCTCAAATCCTCATTTTTCTCACTTAAATCCCTCGAATCCTCAGTTTTCTGAATTAACTAAGCCAAAATCTCCATTTTCCCCGGTTCAACCAACGTTTTTCGCCATGGGTGACCTCCCGACCTCCCCCTGTCCGCTGCGGCGTTTTCCGAAGGCGCCTCCTTGGCGCGCGCCGCAGTGACCGCCGTGGGTTGGAACATCATGGACTGCCCCAAGGAGCCCTCGGCCTTGAAGACCTGGCGAAACGCTTCAGCCATGGGTCATGGGTCATGGTTTTCATGATATCAATGGTTATAGTTATCATTCAAGCTATCATAGTTACGAATATCATATATATATATATTACCTGATTTTAATGGTTGTCATAGTTCTGAATCAGTATGGCATGATAACCATGGTTATATGATCTTATACATATATATATACACATGAATTCAATGAATCATTGTGACTCATTATTAGTGGCTACTATTATATATAAATATATATATATATATGGAATTAGTTAATCATTAATGAATATATGTAATATATAGTTAATCATTTACTATAATAAATAAAGTTTATGTATGGAATTATTAATAGTATCATGAATATATGGAATATGATTTCCTAATGACCATATATTTCATATTGATATGGTCATAATCATAAAAATTAACTATAGTTTCTTTTTTATATCATATATAAATATAGTTAGGCATTAATACACTTTATTATGGATACATGGAATTAGCTAATTGTTAATGTAGATATAATTTAGGTTATTCAACAACTATGAATGGTTCGTGGTTAATGATACTATTAATTAATCAAACTTGTGGCATTAATATAGTTGATTTCGCCATTAAGAATGGTTAATGTAAAATGATATTATTAATAGTTGATGGTCAATTATATAAATTGATGGTTCATATTGATGGTAAATAATTGCTATTAATGGTTAATCATCATGGTCAAAAATAGTTAACATGGTTGTTAAACGTATTGATAATGAACCCTGATATTCAACAATTATTCACTAGTGTTTATATATAATAATGATATCAAAAAGGTGTTTATTGAAGTGTTTCAATTCCATGACACATATCTATATAATAGTTTAATGCTGCGCTGTTATATTACTAGTATTTAAAAAGTGCTGTTACAGTACTGTCATAAAAAGGATGATACAGTTTTTAATCGTTTAATCCAGTGAATACTTAATGGTCAATGGACTGTTGAATAACTAATGGTTAATATTACAAGTTGAAAAATCCAATACTAACTGCTAAATAATAATGATGATCATTTGTATATTATAACTACTAGCTCTATTTCCAGTAACATGATTAGTTAACCAATCAAACAAACCAGTCTTAATTATTAAATATTCAAATTTTGTCACTGCTTGTCCAATTTAATCTATTGATATCTATTAATTATCCGTTAGTTGTTGATTATATTGACATACCCACTATATATCACTATAACATATTAGTTATTCCAATATCTACTGATAACCCTTCGAAGAAGCAGCCGTTGATTGTAGGAACATACATTCTAACTCTCCAGCATTCAATTTTTGATTCTTGCCGGTACATCCAATGACTATATTTATTTATTCAGACAATCCTCTAGTTCTGGGGTTTATTGTCCCAAAAATAATCAAATCAAATCAAATCATACCAAACTCAGGAAGCATTGAAATGTAACTTCAATGTTTGGAATAAAATTCTGGATACCTCTTGCAATACTGGATCTAACACTTGATATAATGGAACATAGTGGATTGGAATAGATACAATGTAACACTTGTTGAGTACCACTTTGGAATCATAGGAATTCTTTTGAAATATCGTCTGTGGAATTAACCGTCAAATATGGGATAAACCATCTGGTACTCAGCCATATGAATGGAAAACCCAGTGTTGATAGTTGGTTTCTCATTCAAACAACTATTCTACTATCCATGAACTATAGATATATCACTTATAAACCATAGTTATTGGATTTTTAAACCAACTTAGCTATTCAAAGACCATTTTGTTGAACAAGCCACGTGGCTGATTGCCGGAGGGTGACCGGAGGGCAAATTAGGCAGGTGAAATCCAACCATAGCAAACATGAGAAAAATGGGATTTAACATTGGATAATGGTTGGATAATGGATTTTAAGCACCAAAAAAACTGGATAATGGTTGGATAATGGATTCTTCCAGTGATTTAACGACCAAAAATGGAAGAATTAAAGATTGGACAATGGATTTCAGCAACTACACTGGAAATTTAACCAGCAAACATGACTGGTTGGTGGTTTCAATCCCTCTGAAAAATATGAATTAGTTGGTTGGGATGATGATTCCCAATATATGGAAAAATAATAAATGTGCCAAACCACCAACCAGATGATTATATCATGGGAATATAAGGGGATAGTGAATTGAGCAGGGGTTGTGTTCGACACCCATGTTAATTGAAGATCAGGTCTGGGGTTATACTATCCAATTTATTGGGGGTTCATGAACTGGGAGATCCTGTAAACTGACAGATAATAATATTTGTTGGTTTATGTTAACCCATTAACAGTTCCCAGTAGTAACAGCAATAAAAAACGAATTGTACTAGTAGTAGTTAAGAACAAATAGCATTAAATAGCAATACGTAGCAATAAGCGGCAATGCATAGCAAAACATAGTTTGCTACATAGCAATAAGTACTAACTAAGTCACCAACACTGGTTGGATAAATGATGGATATAATGGGACAGAACCCATTCTTTTCTGGAGATATACAGAAATGTTAAAGGGAAGGATCTATGGAGATTTTGCCGGGGGGATATTTGTTGGATAGCGAAAACGAAGATCTAGAGTTGATTTACCTGATTCATGATAGCTAAATGGGTTTTGAACTACTTTCTGATAGAACCCCCAAAACATGGCCAGAAATATGGTACTAACGTGGGAAATCCCCCAATTTCTCATTGGGTGCTGTCCATGGAATCCATGGCCACATGGTGTCAGATTACCAAAGGACCAATGAAATAGCGGGTCGAATATTTAATTGGACTATGAATTTATGTGAATATATGAATATATGATATAGTCACAACGCGATATATGACTATGAATTTATGTGAATATATGAATATGATATAGTCACAACGCGATAAAGGACTATGAATTTATGTGAATATATGAATATATGATATAGTCACAACGCGATATATGACTATGAATTTATGTGAATATATGAATATATGATATAGTCACAACGCGATATATGACTATGAATTTATGTGAATATATGAATATATGATATAGTCACAACGCGATATATGACTATGAATTTATGTGAATATATGAATATATGATATAGTCACAACGCGATATATGACTATGAATTTATGTGAATATATGAATATGATATAGTCACAACGCGATAAAGGACTATGAATTTATGTGAATATATGAATATATGATATAGTCACAACGCGATATATGACTATGAATTTATGTGAATATATGAATATATGATATAGTCACAACGCGATATATGACTATGAATTTATGTGAATATATGAATATGATATAGTCACAACGCGGTAAAGGACTATGAATATATGTGAATATATGGATATGATATAGTCACAACGCGATAAATGACTATGAATATATGATATATATGAATATATGATATAGTCACAACGCGAAAAAGGACTATGAATATATGTGAATATATGAATATACGATATAGTCACAACGCGATAAAGGACTATGAATTTATGTGAATATATGAATATATGATATAGTCACAACGCGATAAAGGACTATGAATATATGTGAATATATGAATATATGATATAGTCACAACGCGATATATGACTATGAATAAAAGTGAATATATGAATATATGATATAGTCACAACGCGATAAAGGATTATGAATATATGTGAATATATGAATATATGATATAGTCACAACGCGATATATGACTATGAATTTATGTGAATATATGAATATATGATATAGTCACAACGCGATATATGACTATGAATTTATGTGAATATATGAATATATGATATAGTCACAACGCGAGATATGACTATGAATTTATGTGAATATATGAATATATGATATAGTCACAACGCGAGAACGGATTATGAATATATGTGAATATATGAATATATGATATAGTCACAACGCGATAAAGGACTATGAATTTATGTGAATATATGAATATATGATATAGTCACAACGCGATATATGACTATGAATTTATGTGAATATATGAATATATGATATAGTCACAACGCGATATATGACTATGAATTTATGTGAATATATGAATATATGATATAGTCACAACGCGATATATGACTATGAATTTATGTGAATATATGAATATATGATATAGTCACAACGCGATATATGACTATGAATTTATGTGAATATATGAATATGATATAGTCACAACGCGATAAAGGACTATGAATTTATGTGAATATATGAATATATGATATAGTCACAACGCGATATATGACTATGAATTTATGTGAATATATGAATATATGATATAGTCACAACGCGAGATATGACTATGAATTTATGTGAATATATGAATATATGATATAGTCACAACGCGAGAACGGATTATGAATATATGTGAATATATGAATATATGATATAGTCACAACGCGATAAAGGATTATGAATATATGTGAATATATGAATAAATGATATAGTCACAACGCGATATATGACTATGAATTTATGTGAATATATGAATATGATATAGTCACAACGCGAGAAAGGATTATGAACATATGTGAATATATGAATATACGATATAGTCACAACGCGATATATGACTATGAATAAATGTGAATATATGAATATATGATATAGTCACAACGCGATAAAGGACTATGAATATATGTGAATATATGAATATACGATATAGTCACAACGCGATATATGACTATGAATAGATGTGATATCTGAATATGATATAGTCCAAACGCGATCTATGACTATGAATATCTGTGGTGATATATGAATATGATATAGTCCAACGCTATAATATGACTATGAATTTATGTGAATATCTGAAATATGATATAGTCCACGAGATATATGACTATGAATTAATGTGAATATATGAATATGACTCTAAGTCCACAACCGCGATATTATGACGATGAATTATGTGAATATATATAATATGATATAGTTCACAACGCGATATATGACTAGGAATATATGTGAATATAATGAATA